ATTTTGAGAACATAATTTTAATGTATTAAAGCAATTTTAATGTATAATAATATAATAAGCAATTTTGAGAACACAGCATGTTAAAATTGATGAATGCGTCTGAGGAGGATGGCCGCTGCTTTAACCAGCCTAGTGTGAGGACGGGTTGGTGTCCATACATTAATTCATTTTCTACAAGTATAGAATGTTAGGTCTTATATTGTATATTGTGTTATCTTTATTTCTTAATCGTGTAATAATATTGCATTAATATTATTGACTGTATTAATAGATGGCAGTATATCTTTAAACTTTTTTAAGAATGTTAGTCATTTTTTCTTAGTAATTGGTTTTTTTAAGCATAGATGATGGGAAATTGCTTTAAAACATGTGAAAAATTTATTAAATTAAAATTATCTATGTACGTCTTTTTTCTCATATTGCTGACAGGTATGATAAGCTGCAAAACTTGCAGCTAAGAGAAGAAATGTTGACATTTACATACTACAGAGTCTATCACAGATTAAGAAAGTAATTAGAAACAGAGCAATGCAAAAGATGTACAGTGACCACAACACAGCAGTTGCAACATCAGGATCTGCGAGTTGGTACAAGAATTCAACCAACTACGAACCACTTAGTTTGATGAAAGGGAGCAGTAGAACAACAGAAGTACACTTACATCGCATCAGGCTTGGATACCCATGTGCATGGGAAATAGGCTTACAGGTTCCGGAAGATGAGAGGAAATGTCATCACTGTGGAGAAATGCCCGACAGACCATTGGTACATTATCTAACCCAGTGCAGAATTACAAACTCATTAAGATTTCAACTTAGATTCAATAGAGCAGAAGTTGTTAAACACATGGTACAAAATCTTTCTGAAACGACCATACGAGTCATAAATACTCATTCTTCGCCCAAGTAAAACAGAAGAAACAACACTTAGTGGGCCAGCCAGAGGCTTAGGGCCCGCGCAGGAATATCCCTGCAAAAAAAAAGTATGGTATAATTTTTATTCTGTCGTTATACTTGTTACTATACTTGAGATAATCTCTTAACCTTGAAAACTTCATTCTGTAACAACGAGAGTGTCTTTCTACTGTACTTAATTTCTAAATTTCCATCGCTTTATCCCTGCTAATCTAGGCCTCCTGATGGTGGAAAGCAGTTTGATCGAGAGCACTCGACCACCTCTGGTAAGACAGTACCATCCCCCCCCCCCCCAGCATCCAGTATTACTGTGCTAGGCTTCCTGCGGTTTTATAGATATGGTCAGCATATCAACCCTCGCTAGTTATAATGACAGCAGGAGGCCTGATAAAGCTACACCTCGTTATTTCGACCGTCTTTCATATCAAAATATGAATTCCTAATTAGAAATCGTTCCAAGCAATAAGGTTGTTTGTGTGTTATAACGTTCCCTTATGAAGAGGTTAATTTTCGTAGTTCCTTTGAGTATTTGGCTGTAGTTGAGTTATCGATGGCTTGCTATAAGGACATTGACCACAGCACACTGAGTAGATGAAATTCTCAACTTGCATCGGCTCGGGATGGCTGTATATCAAAAGATAATTTATTTATGGCTACATTAATACAAAAAATTAATGGCTTGAATTCTATTGCCAAAATAGCAAATGTAATGACATAGAGAATTGGGCGGGGCTTTCTGAAGACTTGTTCCTAAATATCATAAGGCTATCCCAACAAGCCGGCAAGTACATAAGAAAATGATTGGGAATTATGGTTCTTATCGTCTCTTGAAGCTCTATCACAAATCATTGTAGCCTAACAACAGCATCTTGTCTTGCAATTCCCAGAGGCACAGTTGTTGGACGTTTGTCTTTCTCTCCCCTCACTCTTACACAAACTATATATATATATATATATATATATATATATATATATATATATATATATATATATATATATATATATATATATATATATATATATATATGTCGTACCTAATAGCCAGAACGCACTTCTCAGCCAACTATGCATGTCCCAATTTGCCTAATAAGCCAAGTTTTCCTGAATTAATGTTTTTTCGACTACCTAACCTACCTAACCTAACCTAACCTAACTTTTTCTGCTACCTAACCTAACCTAACCGATAGAGATAGGTTAGGTTAGGTTAGGTAGGGTTGGTTAGGTTCGGTCATATATCTACGTTAATTTTAACTCCAATAAAAAAAATTAACCTCATACATAATGAAATGGGTAGCTTTATCATTTCATAAGAAAAAAATTAGAAAAAATATATTAATTCAGGAAAACTTGGCTTATTAGGCAAATCGGGCCTTGCATAGTAGGCTGAGAAGTGCGTTCTGGCTATTAGGTACGACATATATATATATATATATATATATATATATATATATATATATATATATATATATATATATATATATATATATATATATATATATATAGTCGTGTATAGATATCGTGTACTGTGTTGCAGATGATCGTGTACTGTGTTGCAGATGATCGTGTACTGTGTTGCAGATGATCGTGTACTGTGTTGCTGACAGTCGTGTACTGTTTCTGATGGTCCTTCCTGGAGAGCTAAACCTGAAGAAATGTTTGGAGGGCTGAACAAATACTAAACTAAACCGTGAGGATCATCCTTGGATGCCCGATACAATTCAGCTACTCAACATGAAGAAGGAACTCCATCTTGATCTGAAACTTTACTTTGATAGGTGTAATAGAATCCATGAACACCACACCAGAAATAAATATATCTCTGATATCCCCAGAGTCAGAATAAATCTGTGCAAACACTCCATGCAAATAAAAGAACCCAGTTTATGGAACTCACTCCCTAATGAATTAAAAAATTGTCCAACCTCAGCCTTATTCAAAAGGAAAACCAAAAAGTTTTACCTACCTAATTTCATCCTCATAGTTTCCTACCTTGTGCTTCAAACACATTGTATCTTGTAAGACCCACTTCCACAATATTAGTAGATAAGACATATATCTTCACCAGTGTAATCACTTCTGTCAATTTATATCGTAGTTATATGTTGATATAAATTTTCCTGCAATGTACCTTTTCATCTTGTTATATTACATTAAGGCTAGATTAAATCTTTTGTAATCTCACATTCCCATTGTACCTTCGTGTAAATAAATATTATTATTATTATTATTATTATTATTATTGTTATTATTATTATTATATTCTATGCGTCAGTGATCATATCACTTTAATTAATGGTTTATTTGATATTAAGATGCATTAGGCACCTTAAACCCTGCACAGTTGCCGTCAAGCCTTCTTTATTGAATGTAAACAATTCATTCTCTCAAAAGGAAAGATTAAAATTGCAACTGAATTCAGAATGTATCAAATTCATATTATTCACTAAGAGAGATTACAGAGGCACTTTCCTTCACCGTGGGAGAACACCCATTGTGAAACTACTATCCCTTCCATCCCACCCGAAAAGATAATTAAAGAGTAGTTCAATCTTCGACTGGAAACAAAGTGCTATGCCTCAGGCCACGTAATTGATGCTTTGCTCACAGAGCCCTCTCTATCTCAAACCATTTATGGTTACCTACACCACTCCACCAATACTGGCTGAAGTGCAGTTGTTTTAGATTCAGCAACTCGTAACAAAAAGTTCCAAGTAGCACGGGCTGTGGTGAGCCCGTAGTGAACTTCAAATCAAATCAAATCAAATATTTATTCAGGTCAGGGTACATACATACAAGATGAGTTACAAACATAATGTTGGATTTCTAGATAAAGCTAGTACATACAATGCCAAAAGGCACTAATACGCACAGCGTTTTGGGTAAGGTGTGAGAAAAACACACACTAAAATTTAATACTAATTGAGATTAAAGCGTAAATTGAGTTAAAAAACAGAAAGGAGGGGGGGGGGAGGTAAACATGGCAGAAATCAGTAGTTATAAAAGTTAGTCAACAAACAGTATTGTTTGACTTACCTGGCACGGGATAGGGGCTGTGGATGGAAGTGAAGTTGTCATGACAACGAGAAATGGCTCTTAGTGGTGTCCGTATAAATAACTGTATGGACTTTCACACCTCACACCGAATTTCTTGCCATACTAACTTGCATTTAAACGTTTACATATGTATCCAGAATTGACGCATTAGTTATATAATCGACTTTCTATTATATATGATGGCATTCAACTTCTCAAGACATAACTGGACCATACTTGTGTTTGAAACAAGGCACAGATATAATCATATAATTAACGATGGTTAGTCTCATTCTTATGGATTCCATCTCACATTGACCTCTGTATATGTGATGGAACTGATGAGTTAGCCAAAGTATATACTCTTAAATAGGACCTTGGATTGTCTATGAGCAGTAATACCGAGTACGGTAACATAATGTAATAGATCAGTTTAACCTACACTATCTATTCCTACTGCAGGAAGATTCACATTTGCAGTACATAATGTTTAGTTTCCTCATTTAACGCGCTCATAACTTTTCTCATCTTTCACTTTTAGCTCTTATAACTATTCAAAGTTAATTTAGACTGCTTGATAATTACGCAGATCGTGCTTCCAAAAATGTATTGTTGTGTTGATTTAGGGGCGACGACAAAAATATATTGATATAAGAATGAAAATAAAATAAAAGTAGGCTTGTAGTGTAACCCTTAGAGTTGTTTTTATTTTTATTGTCTATCACAGACATGCCCACACATTTACAATGCTAAACAGCATATATACATTTTCTTCTGTCCTCCACGGACAGGGTTAGAGATCTGTTAAACATATGGTTCAGTGATTTATTGATCAACCACAGAAGGTGATTGTAGTACTTTATATCTTTCGACTGCTGCTTCGGATACACATTATATTCTGTAGACTGTTTTACTTTTCGTTGTTGTATGAGAAAATTATACAAATTATTTGATTTAAATATATTTTCATTTTACATTTATTTAAATAAAGCTTCTTAGTCAATTAAAGAATTTCATAAATACTGCATTTCATAAACACTGATAATTGTGGGGGAGGTGGAGGTCGGAGGAGTCAGGGTGTAAACAACGTGTTGAGCCACATGCGGGGACCCATGGTCTCTCTCTCTCTCTCCTCACGCTTCACTTTTCATAAAGGTGACCAGTCATTCTCTTCTGCTTGTATGTGGCGAAGCCGTCAACATCGTAGCTTTCTACTTGAGAACTCTTTAATAAGGGTGTTGGCAGGCCTGGAGAGGCCTTTACCAGGAAGGAGCTTGTGATGACATCGAAAGCACTGATCAAGACGGGGTTAGTATATGTTTTATTCTTCAGAGTTGTGGGTATATTTTCCTGCACTATTATTTAATGATACTGGAGGCGGCTGGAAATGGCAAATGGCATCTTGTCAGATCGTACCAAAAACCATAATGAAGTATGATTTGAAGGTTAATACTCAAAGCCTGCTAACTTAAGTAAGGTCTTACTTAAGTTTATATGTTACTTAGATATTTAAAATGTTTGAATAGTATTAATGTCATTATGCCATGTTACATTCTCCAGATAACTGAGCTAGTACTCTGTAGAGCTTTACACTACCATTTTGTTTACATATAATAATAATAAAATCTGTACGAGCCATGATGACGATTCGAACCTATGTGGTGGGTGTTTGCCCTCGTCAGCTCAGTTTTTTTGTATTTATATATACGGGAGTTTTTACATTCTTGTACAGCCACTAGCATGTGTAGTGTTTCGAGCAAGTCCTTAATCCTATGTTCCCTAGAATACAACTCGGCCAAATTGTTTAACAACCAGGTACTCATTTTACTGTTGAGTTAAACAGTTAAGGATTTGCACGCAGTAAATCCTCCCAGGCGAGGATACAAACCAGGACCCTCGGGAAACTCTTGTGAGCTCAATAGAACTCCAGGTTGCAATCCCGTTACCATGTCATGGCCTAGTTAGCTAAGGTGTGTGTGTGGGAACACCCACACCATAGGTTAAAACCCTCGTCATGGCTCCTACGAATTTTCTCAATGACACATCATGTTAGTGTAATTACTCTCTCTGTAGTAATAATAATATGAAAAATATATGCTGGTTATATTACATTGTATAATTACATGATATAGTATTGCTATTTTTTTATTAAGGCTGCTTATACTGTATATGACAGGACAATCAACTCTGTTCATATAAAGCATTGTTTTCATTGTACGCTGATAATTTGCTTGAGTATTAGATTTTCAGTCTCTTGCAGCTTGGGCAATTCCCTAATATGATTGCTGGTTACCAAAGGTTAAACTTGCATAACCTTTCAGACCAGACAAAGACGCAATGACTGGTCAATGACTGGTCAAAGAGGACAAAGACGCACACACATTAGCAATTGATGATGCAACCTGTCCTCAAGGAGATCCCCTCAAGGGAATGGATTGGGAACAACTACACAATTTCTGCTATTATCCACTCTATCCATTGTTAGGTTTCTTTACGATTGGTTACGTTAATGCGATGTATTACTCACGATAATATAAAATATGGAATTTGAACTGTTTTAGTGTGCCTGCGAATGCTGTTTACAGAAACAAAGTACTTCAAAGAAAAGGTTTTCAGCATACACTTAATACTTTAAACCAACACTTTCTATTACATTAAAGTTATAACTTGAGAATAATCTCTGTTTACGACAAAGATTCATTTGCTAGTTTGCATGTAGACTATTACTGGAACCATAATATACTTTCAAACTATCACAAATATCTAGATACCTATCCAAGTGGTTTGAAGAGGGTGTGGTTTCTCATGGTAATGGATCTGCTCTGAGGACAGGCTGGATGACAATACAAGTATGGTTACAAAATGTTATAGTTTTAAACCTGTGCAGCTTATAGTTTTGGTTAATCAAAGTGTGGCTTAAAGATGCTTCAGTGTACGGTACAATGCTAATTTCTTGCTTGTAAACTTGAAGACTGATTGATTTTGTTTTTTATAGGTTTGCTGTTGAAGCCAAATACAATGCCTACTTCACAGGTCAACGTGTACAGGTGAGGATTTAACACTTATGTTCCAGTATCTGCTCGCGCACTATGCTGTGGGGTGAAGAATGCATGAGTGGGGCAGTTGAGGCATGACATATGAATGTTTTTAATTTTTTCAAATTTACACTTTTCAATGCTGTTTGCCATACATTATTTTTGTTTACATATAAATGTTCACAGATTATTTCCTTATAAAAAAGGATTTCATGATAAATGAGGCTAAGCTATGTGTCAATTTCTTTTTGGAACAGTTTTCAGCTACTTCTTTATTTAAAAACCAATATATCTGTGGAGAGCCCCTCTGGCGCCCTGGAGCTATACCAGGCTGATATGTATATATTAGACGGTAGCATCCGTCAGTTCGATTGGAGTTCTAGCCTATCGGGGACCATGAGTCAGAACCTGGCCCCCTCAGAGAGGCATGAGGAGCAATGGCCTATAGGAACCCCCATGTGGTTGGAAGCATTCTGTGTCTGCCATCTACCTGGTTAGGCGCCCAGAAAGGTAGGTGTCCCAAAACAGACACCACCTGGTTAAAATTGCTACTGAAAATCGAACTATCAAGCAGAACTCCACAATCTGAAAATGAGCAAACAAGTATGACATCACAAATGCTGCCGCGCCGCTCTCTGCACAGCTGCCCCCTCCTCAGGAGAGGGAAGGGGGTGCCCCAGACCCCTCGCGCTATCCAATCGCAGTTTTGAGGTTGATGTGTTGCGTGGCGGTCGTTCGACTTTGGCTCCTATCTTTGAGCAATGCTGTGCCTTTACAGTGTTCTGCTGTGTGGTGGTGTGTGAGCCAGGAGTAATTCATGGTGTACTGGGGCTGCATGCTCCTAGGGCCATCTTCCCTAGGTGTTCTGTAAGTACTGCCCTTGCGGCTTGGGTTTCTCTTCCACAAGTTGTTTGGGAACTACCTCCGTAGGGATATTTTGCTGCTCGGTGATTGCCCGCCCCTGGGGTTAGCTATGGTTTTCATTGCCGCTGTTTGACCTTGGGTAGGAGGTAGTTTCGTCGCTAGTAGTATGTCCACAGTTTCCACAGCAAGGTATTGTACAGCTTGTCATCTATTACACAGCTGCCAGTTCAGTTCCTCCTGGGGACGCGGGGGTTTTCTTTTTCAATTTTTTTTTTTATTCCCTGGTGGGGGGTCTGCCCCTTGGTTATTGTCCACCCTCTGTTATTCTGGTGGTCCACCCACTAGGTCCCAATGATTGTACACATCGCAGGGGGTTTAGCTTTAATTGATCTCTTGGTAGTGTGGGCCAACTGGTTAGCAGTACCTTGCCTGGGCTTCCCTTAGCAGTCAGCCTAAGGGCCCTGGAAAACCCCATTGAGGCTCATTGGTCCAATGGATGTATCCTCTGGGTCCCATCTCGCTTTGTGCGAGTTTGAAGGTTGCACTGTCCCCTTATCCTCCGGGCCTTGCGTTGGTACCTGTGTTGCCGGCTTCGTCTTCAGGGTTCATTGCCTTGGCGAACCCTCGCTTGATGTTTTCACAGACGCATCATCTCTTGGCCGAGATTTTGTGACCAGTGCTCACCAGGCTGGCCATGGGCAATTGGGTCCATCCTTCCGTCGGGCTCACAGCACGGTGCGGGAGTTCGCTGCAGTTTGGTTTTCGCTTTGGAGGGTTCGGGTCGCTCGGGGTTTGACCATTCGGCTCCATTCAGACTGTTCCCCGGCGGTTCATTGCCTGAACTGTGTGGATTCTCTTCGGTCCATGCCTCTTTGGGGCTGGTTGCTTCGAGTGGCTCGTCTGCTGGTTTCTCGGGGTTTGCCTCTCCGTGCGGTTCATATCCAGGGAGTGTCCCACGTCTTGGCGGATGGCCTATTTTGGCTCATTCCTTTGTCCACAGAATGGACAATCAACGCCGACTCCTTCCGTTGGCTATGCAGGACGTATGGACTCCTGGACGTGGACCTCTTCGCGTTGGCATGGTCTCGGCATCTCCCGATCAATGTGGCACCCTTTCCCAATTGCAAGGCTGTTGTGGTGGATGCCTTTCGGCAGAACTGGTCAAGATGGGGTTACCTGTACCTCTTTCCCCCTGTCCAGCTGTTGCTTCAGGTTCTGGCTTGGTTGGAGTCCTACCAAGGGAGAGTAGTCCTCGTGGCCTCTTGGTGGCCGGCCCAGCCTTGGTTCCAGGCGCTGGAACGACTTGCTTGGTGTGTGAACCCAGAGCGTTTTCCGCGGCTCCACTTCTTCCATCAGGTTGGTTTGGTCAGGTACACGGCTGGTTCGTTCTTTTCTCGTTCTCTTCGTTTCTGGTCGCTTTGACATGGGTTTGTGTGGTGATCAGGTGGCTTCTTTGATGGTGTCCCACCTGAGAGCTTCCTCTCGCCAACAGTATAAAGTTTTCTGGCATTTTTTCTGCCATTTTCTCTGTTTGTAGGTTGTCTTTTATTTCAGATCGGGTTGTCTTGTCCTTTCTGTCTTGGCTTTTTCAGAACCATCATTTGATGCCTAATACTGTCGCCTCATATTGTACGGTGCTGGCGGAGCCGCTTCAGCTTGCGTTTGGGGTGCATATCTATTCTGCCCTGTTCCGTAAGCTTTCTCATGCTTTGTTTCACCTCGGGCCTGTTCATGCGCCGCCTGAGCCGTCCTGGTCCTAGGACAGGGTGCTCTCCCATCTTTCCTCTCCTCGGTTGTGTTGGCCTCTTCGGTTCAAAATTGTTTTTCCAAGGCTCTCTTTCTGTTGGCATTGGCGTCTGGGGGTCGGGGAGCTGCATGCTCTCCTCCGGCGCAGGGGTTTTTGCTCTTATGGTCCTGGTGGTAGGTTTGTTTGATTGCAGTCTTCTCCTTCTTTTCTGGGGAAGAATGAGATGGCTGCTTTCCGGAGGGGTCCTTGGGTCATTGATGCTTGGTTGGTAAGGCCGGGGGTGCATCATGTGTTGTGTCCGGTTGTGACTACCTTTATCTACGCGGTTCGGCTTTGGTGGCTGGGGATGCGCTTTGGGTTGATCCGATTTCTCGCATTCCCTGTTCCAGGGCTCGGGTTTCCCAGGTCGTCCACAGGGTTATTAACCCTTCCACTGCTCAGGGGTCCTGAGGACATTTACACCCCTGTGCGCAAGAAAAAAAAAATTCTAAAAAATTATTTCATCTTAAAATGTTAATTTGTGTTCCCTGAGCACGGGGAAAAAAATCGTAGGTGACATATTTTGGGCGCAATTGACCGAGGAAGTCTGGCAAAAAGTGGGCGTTGACAGAGCGGTTGTCAGAGCCGGTCAGCGTCACCCGCGCTGACAGGTGGGAGTTGCCACAAAGATATTATCACTTAATTATTTCTCTGTCTCTGATTGATTTTTTCTTAGTTTTTTTGCAGTAATATTATTCAATAGTGTGTTTTGTAATATATTTATATAACAAAAGTGGTGAATAATCGCTATACAGTACTCAAAAGTATGGTGTGCATATTAGTAATTCAATTATTATGTTCATAAAACAATAAACAAATAATTTTGCTGCTATTACTCTATACACAGGTTATATATAAGTATCTGCATGTTTTGTTCACCATAATGAACCACTAAGTTGGTATTGAGAGTCGAAAAGCAACAAGGAGTTACCACCACACACCAGCCAGCCACTCATTGCCACTCCCTCAACAATGCCTCACTCGCCCACTTTTTCCTCCCACCGTCCTGTTTTATATTTTATTCACAATATACAGACGTTATATATAAGAATCTACATGTTTTGTTCACCACAACTGTACAACTAAGCTGATATAGTTAGTTCAAGCACTAAGAGTCGTCGCTATACACACAGCTGGCGGCTCCCTCACTCATTCAAGGTCACACGCACTAAACTTTCTCCCCCCAACAATACCGTTTGTGGTGTTATTAGACTATATACAGACGTTATATATAAGTATGTATATGTTTTGTTCACCACAACTGTACAGATAAGCTGATATAGTCAGTTCAGGCACTAAGAGTCGTCGCTATACACACAGCTGGTGGCTCCCTCACTCATTCAAGGTCACACGCACTAAACTTTTTCCCCCAACAATACTGTTTGCAGTGTTATTACACTATATACATATATTATATATAAGTATCTACATGTTGTATGCACCATAACTGTACACCTAAGCTTGTAGAGTGCCCAAAGAGCATAGTGGCCACCCTCTGCACATCTAGACAAATCATGCAGACGACGTCACCTCCGTCACCCAAATGGCTCCTCCCAGCATAATCCTTTTGCTGTTATTACACTAATACACACATTATATATAAGTATTTACATTTGTGTTCACCATAGAGAACCACTAAGCTGGTATGGTGAATGCAGACAATAACAGGTGACCACACAGTCAGTAAACGACGCAATCTCCCTTCGTCCCTCAGCATCACTCCTCCCACAGCACTAATTATTACAACAATCCTGCTATTATCACAACCCTGGTTATTTATATCACAGTCAGGGGTCATCTGTAATATTGTCATCGCTAAATAATAGCAATTATATATTTTGACATTTTTCGGTGATGCTGTGGTCACAAGCTGAACAGCAATGCTGTTCGCTCATGCTGCGTGCGCCAGCCTTGGTTGCTCCAACAGTACTGTGGCTCTCACACCTGAGAATATTGCCCACGATTTAAAAAAAAAAGCCAGTTTACAAGAGCCCTGAGGAAGTTAATGTGAACCCCGTGTAGCCGCGGGCCATTTGAATAGTGCCGAACATCCTATGGCGTATATGTTCGCCATGCGCACTGTGGGACATGTTACTCATGGCATATATATACACCATGCGCAGTTTAAGGGTTAAGTCTAGCAAGCCTGCAGTCTATCCTTGTGCCCATTACGTTAGGAAGTTTGCTGCATTGGCTGCCGTGTTTGGCAACATGTCTTGGGCTGATATTCGGGTGCAAAGATTTTGAAGGTCGAACAGGATCCTGGCCGCCTGTTATTTGGTTAACATTCCTGCTCCTGGGCATTTCTGTGTTGCTTTGGGTCACAGGTTGCAGCCAGTTGTCTCGACTTCGCGTTAAGGAGTTTGTGACAGCCGCCTCCTGAGTAAGTCCCTCTTTTTCCTTATCTTTAATTATGTAGCCCCAGGGAGCCGTAGGGGCTACCCACAGAAAACCAGTGTTGAATGTAGTGAAATGCCATTTTATCTCCAGGAAGCCTTATGGGCTCAGCCAGAAAATGGCTTTTCATTACTGTATATTCAATGCTGGTGTTTTTATATCTCCTTCATTCATTTTCATTTTTGTCACAACAGTAGTACAGTATATTAGTATAATATATATTAATAATGGCTTCCTTGTTTTGCTAGGTAACAAATGATGGAGAAGCATTGTTGTGTGAGTGTGGGGACAGTGTGGGGGTGGTGTCACTCACCACAGGTCAGATCACGGGCCGCATTCGTTGTGAGGAAGATCAAGTTACGTCCATAGCCCTGGCTCCAAATAACTCGTCTGTTGTTGTAGCTCTTAAGTCTACATCTGTCCAGCAGTATCAATGGCCAAGTAAGTTTTCATTTAAGTTTAAGCTAGCAGCTTTGAATTAGTAACTGAAAATAAATAATTATAATTTCTTAGAATAAAATTATATTTTCCTTTTGAATATGCTAAAATAATTTAATAACAGTACTGTACTGTACTATATTAAATTTTGTACTTCATATATTTTTTTATTATTGTTTTAAAACATCTTGGTATTTTTAGGCATGGAATTACAGCGAAGTTTTAAATCCTTTCACCGTGGACCTGTTACTGTAATGAACTGGGACACGACATCTACATTACTTATCACTGGGGCAGCAGACTCCTCTGCCCGAATATGGGACCTTCATAAGAAATACTGCACTCATAGTCTCAAAGGTGCCTCTGGGGTATTTGGGTAAGTGAATACTGTATGCATTCAGTGTTTTTATTCAGCTTTACTTTCTATGGCATGGGACTGAGCTTTTGAAATGGAAGACATGTAAATGTTTTCACTTCTAAATACATATGTTAAAATACCATTGAGAGGTAGTCAACTTCTCTAATCATTTGTCAGACACTTTTCTGCTGTTCACTTTTAAGTACAGTATAGGTATGCAGTGTTAAATTTATCTTTGCACAGCATAAAATGTAAATTTTGTTTTCCAAAGTACTGTACTGTTGGTTGTTTCACAACTACACCTTACATGAATTTGTTTAATATTATTATTTCTGTGCACAGCTAAATAATTTTTGTTAGGTATCAGGACCCGGATTCATAAAGCATTTACGCAAGCACTTACGAACCTGTACATCTATCTCAATATTTGGTGACTTTATTTACAATTATTAAACAGTTAATGAGCCCCAAAGCACCAGGAGGCTGTTTATAACAATAACAACAGATGATGGGGATGTTTTCATGCTTGTAAACTGTTTAATAAATGTAACAAAAGTCGTCAAAGATTGAGGAAAGAAGTTCACGTTCGTATGTACAGTACTTGCGTAACTGCTGCATGAATCCAGGTCTCGGGCCCTTGGATACAGAAGTTGGTGTGAATGGAAAAATAACATTCAAATAATTAATTTTGTTTTTCAGTGCAGCAATATTTGAGCGTGATCTGAGCAAAACACCAAGGGTATATGGTGCAGCTGCTAATAATATTCATGTGTGGACCCTAGAGGCTGGTTCTTCAAAGCACGATGCCCGTCTGGAAGGTCACCACTCTGCTGTCACTTCACTGGAAATTACACAAGATAATGCACACCTTGTCAGGTATGTTTTCTACATATTTTAGATTAAAGATAATCATACAGGCAGCCCTTGATTTGCATGTTATTAGAGAATATAGATTCAGTGGTATGTGGGTAAATACTTTTATACAAAGTTTTGAAGTGTGCAGTTAAATTTTGATGGTACAGTATGCAGGTTTATATTGGATAATTCAATGATCAACAGTCCCACTGATTTGCATTCTTGACAATGTGGTGAGCTGTCCCTTATAATTTTTATTGTTTTATTAACTTTATTACTCAATTTTTTGTCGAACAGAACAGAGTAACAGTCAACCATATAAAATGAGTTCAAGTGCAGTTAAAAGCTCTGTACCTCAGGGTACAGTCCTTGCACCACTGCTTTTCCTTGTTCTCATATCAGATGTAGACAAAAATACAAGTCACAGCTTCGTGTCATCCTTTGCAACTGAGACAAAAATCAGCATGAAAATTACCTCTGCTGAAGACACTGAAAAACTACAAGCAGATATTAATCAATTTTTTGACTGGGCAGCAGAAAATAACATGATATTTAACGGGGATAAATTCCAGGTACAGTACTGTACTCAGGTACAGTAAAAATGAGATCCTTATCCATTGCACTGCACCAAACGACAAATGCTGTTTTGAGAGTTATCCATTTTTTTTAGTTGGGCTATATTTTAATGTTTTTTAATGTTTTCATCACTTTGTGTTTTAAAATGAAAATAGTTGAGTTTGGAAACATTTTGACATTAATTTTACCTGAACATTTATAAAAACAACGAAAATGTCTCCTTAACACTTTCGCGCTCCGTGGAAACTCGCGGTTGACAGGGGGATCGTGGCCCCTCCGTGCGGGTAAGCGCGCGGTGACACTCAAATGTGTATACTCGTTCCAGTTTTCTCACCTTAATTCTCGCGCTACGTCGCTCATTCTGGTATCATTGTGTTCGCAATTAAATTCTCTACAGGTGTGTATAAATATAATGTCCAAAAGCCTTGCGTGACTCCCAACAGCAAAGCGTAAAGTCGGCAAAAACGCACAAAATCAGTAACATGTGCATTCTCGTTCCATTTTTTTACCTTAATTCTCGTGCTACGTCGCTCATTTTGGTATCATTGTGTTCGCAATTAAATTCCCTACAGATGTGTATGAATAAAATGTACAAAAGGCTGGAGTGCCTCCCCGCAGAAAAGCCTAAAGTTACCCATGAACGAGCACCATTTTGTACATTGCAACCTAATGTTCAACTCGTTCAATTTGATAACATCAAATTTCGTGCTACGTCGCTCGTTTTGGTATCAAATTGTTCGCAATAAAAAGGCGATTATTTTAAAACTAGTCCCAGAATAATAGAGCAATAACTGGATTTTTAACAAATATTTTAATTCTGGACGCTCATCATCACAAATTTATTTATATCTTTCCAGTGTTCTGACATAAATATTTGTGTTACATCTTTCATTTTGGTATCAAATTGTTCGCAATAAAAAGGCGCACATTTTAAAACAAGTCCCAAGATAATAGGACAATAAATAGAATTTTAACAAATATTTTAATATTCAGACCATAGACCTATTTATAATATTTCAAGTGTTTGGACATCAAGTTTCATGTTATATCTTTGATTTTGGTATCAAATTGTGTGCAATCTAAAGGCGCTTATTTTAAAACCACTACCAGATTGATCTGATAAAATTTAAATTTTTAAAAAATATTGTAATGAGTGACTCAGTATTGCGTCGTTGGAACACATTCAGTAGAAAAATGAGTGACGAATTATTCAGTCTGTGGAACGCGAAAGTGTTAACAATTGCACTATGAAGTTTTTGCCCAAAACAGGTGCGCAGTGCAGGGGTTAAACATAATACAGAGTACAAAACAATCAAATCTGCCCATAGTAGGAAAGCAGCATGTAAATGATTTGGGAATAATGATGTCTGACAACCAAACATTTAGGGAGCATAACCAAGCAAATATTGCATCAGCCAGAAAAGTGATAGGATGGATTATGAGAACTTTCAAATCCAAGGATTCCATGACAATGGTTGTAATATTCAAATCACTTGTGCCATCCCATCTTGAGTACTGCTCAGTACTCACTTTTCCCTTCAGAGCAGGAAAGATTGCTGAAATAGAGGGAATACAGACAACATATACGGCATACATAGACGCGATAAAGCACCTAAATTATTGGAATCGTCTCAAAGCTCTCCAAATGATATCTCTCATCTCCACTAGAAAGGAGATGAGAGATATCAAATAATATACGTGTGGAAAATACTGGAGGGCCAGGTCTCAAATGTACACTGTAAAATAACAACATACTGGAGTGAACAGTATGGAAGAAAATGCAGAATAGAACAAGTAAAAAGCAGGGGTCCTTGGTTGTTCAACATTGTCCCAGCAAGTATACGAAATATTGCCGGAACAACCGTGAACATCTTCAAGAGGAAACCAGAAAGTTTTCTTCAATAAGTGCCAGACAAACCGGGCTGTGGTGGATATGTGGGCCTGCGGGCCGCTCCAAGTAACAACCTGGTGGACCAAACTCTCACAAGTCAAGCCTGGCCTCGGGCCGGGCTTGGGGAGTAGAACAACCCCCAGAACCTCATCAAGCAGGTATTACATTTGCACATTATTTGCATTTTTATATCCCTAATATTCCAGTATACAGTACTATACTTTTTAACTTTATACAGTAGTTGTAATGGCTTAGTGCTTCCTTGTGATAAAAGGTAATTTAATTTTCTGAACAAGACTATGCACAGTTATGGCAAGCCTCACCTTTTCTGACCCAAGGACTCAAATCACTCGCCAAGCTTTGACCCCCACCATGATGTTCATCTTTGTAAATGGTTTTGTCATGGAAATTAGGGAAGGGACATAATGGCAAGTTAAATGTAAGCCACCACTGAAGTTGGTATTGCTTGAGTTATGAAAGTCAGCACCTAGAGTGTATCATTTCAGTATTTTACAATGAATTGGTGTTAAAAATAAATGTTTTTTTTTGTAGGGTGTTTCACCCTATTTTATAGTTTTTAAGTTTCTTATATTGGTCTGTTTGAAATATGCTCATCATTTGGTGGTTAACAATATACTTTTCCAAATTATTTTACCCTCAAAATAAGGTATGTGCATGTTCTATCATTTACACTAATATAAATAGTCTTTTATGTATAAAATTTTGATAAATAGTATAGATTGAATGCAGCAGAAGTTCTTTTGTAATGGATAAAGGTCCAGAGCAAATCCTTCTATTTAATCCAGACTCCACTATATTTGCTTGAATTGATAACTTTATTTAAATGTGCCATTTCAGTTGTGGGTTGGATCGTGTTATCATCTTATGGGACCTAGCTACCCTGACCAGCAAAAAAGTTGTCCCGGTATTTGAATCTATCTCTGGTTTTGTGCTACAGCCTCCGGGTTGTGTGTTTCCTGGAGCTCAGGCAGGCAACGATCACATATATGCTCTTGTTCTTGGGGATAAAGGTTAGTACAGATTTACTTTATATTTTAATTCCTTTACAATTCTAATATTGTTATTGTTATAGAACATTTATAATTCCCTAGCAAAATGGCAAATATAAATAATTTAAGTGTGATAATGAAAGAAGAAACAAAATTAATTTACAAAATAACCTTGATTATTTTTTATAAAATTTAAGTAGGAACAGATGACTTAAATTATGGGGTTGAAATATGTATGGGAAAATGCAGGCAACCCATCCACCACTATGAGGTGCTAAGAGCCTCATTTTCCATGTTGGTAAAAAAGTGCAAAATTCTTTATTTTTATTGTGTGATTATAAATCATAAGTTACCATGCTACTACTATAGTATGACTTCTGATATAGAGGGGTGGGGGAGATTGGCCTAAAGACCTATCTTCTCAAATTCCTCCCAGTGAAAGGCAAACTCAACAATGGATCTAAGGCCTACACTTGTCCAGTCTCTAGAAAACGCATGGGCTCATATGGACGTGTGTTGTTAAGGGAGTTGAATCAGGATCGGTGAAACTGGAAGAGGCAAATGGTGGATGTGCTAGGTTTATAAAGACATAAAATTCCAACAAAGTGAGAATTAATATTGAAATGGGGTAAGAATTATAAGAGAAGGAGTTACATGAAATAAGAAAAAATGGAAGGATTATGCCTGTTAATGAATGAATGGTGGTATTAGGAAATAAATAACATCTCGTGGAGTAGTTCAAAGTGCTATCATCTGAAATTTTACTTTGAAAATTTATTGTGGGTTTTGTGATTGCATATGCTGTGTGTAATGAAAAGAAGTAACATTTTGGGGTTAATTTAATATGATATGGCATGATATCAATTACTCTGAGTGATTTGAATTGCAAAGTAGCAATGGAACTTGAGAATGGTGTTAGCGGTGTACTTGCTGTCCTGTGAACAAATGACAGGCTGTAGAATAGATACATGCAGTGAAATACAAATTTTGTATGAATAATCCATATTGTGATCTATACCTCTCAGCCACCTCTTTAGTCAAGAACCTACTAGTCCCATGGAGAGGATTATGCTTAGTCATGACAAGGCTTGACATTTGCACAGGCTCATGATGCTATTCCTTGGGCCAATTGGATCCTGTCTTGTATATACTGTACAGTATATCCAAGACCTGATTTTCTGAGCAAGGCCCCACTCGGTAGCTCCTATAACCTTGGCACTGGACCACTCTGGTCACCGTTAATATGACAGGCCCCGAGTGACTGAGCCTCTAATCTCATTCACCACAGATATACTACCTGCCGTAACACCCAAAAACATCTCGAGCCACTTGACACCCCCCTCCAAATAATCCTTAGCTTTTTTAAAACATTCAAGAAATATTCCGAACTAGTGAAACATTTGTTACCCAACTACACTGGCTACCACTAGGTGGCAATGTTTGTAGACTACAAGGATTTAGTGTCTGAGCTGGAGCTTTGACGCTGGAGTTCATAATTATTATTTTCCCCCTTATGATTTGTTTGTGTTGTCACGAGTTGGTGACCGAGTGTTGAACTTCACTGCCAACTTTTTTTGTTAGTAAAGTGTAAAAGTAACATGCCTTTTGCTTTTCTACAGTTCCTTGTTGTTTGGGCATGAGGTTTGATAAGTACACACTGAGGGCTCATCTCTCACAGTTGTCTACCTTGAGGGTTACCTAGCGTTGTTTGTTTTGAGTTTTCCTGTGTCAGGGAGGTATTTACCTTGTATCTTTGACATAATTTTTGCTTGACTGTGTTAGTGGCTCGGTATGCAATTTATCACCAACCAGTAGAAAGCAAGGTGGTTAATTAAGCCTATCTAAACTCTCTCCTTAAATGAAGTGAGATTGGAGAAATAAAATGCTTATTATAATAAAATCATAAATAACATTTATATATACATTTTTTTATATACAATATTAAGTTGTATATCCATTAGAGGTGAGAGAAAGGAATGTTGTTTTGATTTCTGATGGTGTTTACTACTAATCTGCCAATCACTGCCAACTGTCCAACATAAAATATTTACAATTTTGTATACAATTTAATGACCAGTTTGTTTTATGATTAATTGTTGGAGGCAGGTAGTGGTTTTGGATAGCATGAGCTGCCTCTTTCATCTACTTTTACTTAGATATTTACACATAATAATGTGAAATATGAGAAAAATAGAATTTGAGAATATATATAAAAAATGGGTAAATTACAGGTCTATCAGTGTTCATGTTGGGTGATGTCAGAAACTCCCTCCTCTCCAGCCTTTCAAAAACTAGCCTCAGTAAACTGGTTTTTAAGTTTTCCGATCAACTTGAATCCTCTATCAGGTCCCAATCAGCAGGTTGATTCTATCTTCAGCATGTAATGCTTACTTTATGGGAACCCAAATTCAAAAGGGTCAGAAATAGAGCTTTGAGTAAATATGACAAACAACTTTCTCATAAACGACATTGGGTTGTCTCCCCTCAGCCTCCCCCTTTCTTATGCTCACAGCATGTTATGTCTCTCGGGAAGAATTTGATGAGTTGTGAGTTTGGGAATCATATTGTGGCGATGGCATTACCATTGGAATTTTTTGTGGGAGCCCTGTCGGCTCCCTGAAGCTATCATACACTGATCAGTGCCATATTACTAGATGCCAGCAGTTTCAGAGTTCTGTTGGCCTTCTGGGGATCACGAGCCAGCACATGGGGTCCCCTCAGAGAGGTTCAGGGAATGAAAATCCTGAAAGTGGCCTATGAAAACTTTACATTTATAGCTTAATCATACTTGCCACCACTAGGGAAGCATCCAGAAAGATAGACGAATTAAAACAAACTACTGCATGGTTTAAAAACGAAACCGCAGCCTCAAAATTGCTATCCCCAAAATTGCAAAATTGCTAAGGTCTACCCCCCAAATCATGAAAACAAACCATCAAAATTTTGTGAAACTAGTGCCACCTAGTTTTCCCCCCTCATTTGGGGGTCAGGAGGAGGGCATACTGGGTCAGCCAGCTCGTCCCACCTTCAGTACATATTATATGATGCATGCCCTGGTTTCCATGCCACTTTGGCTCTAGTCTCCCATTTTTTGAGTGGTGCTTTTTGCCTTTAAGGCTGGTTTTTACATGAGAGTTTTCCATGAGCCAAGAGTTTAGTGTACTTAGAGCTGCATGTGCCCAGGTTTTCCTTCCCTGTGCACTCTTTGTACTGCCATTGCAAAGTCAGGGTTGCCTTCCATGAGGAGTTCGGGGTATGTTTCCTTTAGGGGGCCTCCTTGGTAAGGATAGTCTTGAATATTGCTTAGGTGTCTTGATAAACATTTTTGCTATCAGATTTTATGAAAATAATACTACAGTATCCTAATTTCCTTTCATATGGAAACATCTGGTGATTTATTTATATTCTGCTGTATATAAATTAATTACACTAGTGCATAATTTCAATGTTGTTAATGAGTCTTACCTACTGTAGTTACCCCCTATTATCTGTCTTTCAGGAGTTCCTGCAGTGTGGCAGGTAGATGCTGGGCGAGAGGTGTGGAAGGCTACAGAGCCAGTGCTAACACCACCTGATAAAGATGGAGTTACATTAATTAATCAAGTGACTTATTCCCCATCTCTTGATTCCATTATTATGACTACTTATGACCATTCAATAATCTTCGCAAAGACTTCTTCTATGGATATATGGAAACAGGTACCTTTACATTCTCCTTCCATTTTTAAATCGGATAAGCAATTAAATATTCCCACAGGTATTCCTTATAGCTTAAAATTAATTTTAAATTGGCTATGGCTGGGCAATATCTGGAGAATGCCTTTGTGCATTGGCTTAAATCTTTGAAGATTTGTGTATGGCAGTGCAAGGTAACTCCATAGTTATTGACCTATGTAGACTTTAAAAGACATCTAAAATATTAATAAGTACTCTCTTAATTGTGCTTGCGAGGGTTGGTCTTTGACTCTTGGATCCTGCTTCTCAACTGTCAACTGGTGTACTAGATGAAGCTGTTATGAAATTTTTACACAGATGCCGTAACCCTTAAATGACACAGCTGTTAATAAAAACACTTTGCTGTTCGGTGCGTGACCGCCGCAGACTTCCACGTCATGCTCCCGGCGTTTTGGGCGAGCGTGCGGCAATCACTGAAATGTGTATACTCGTTTCCATTTTCTCATCTTAATTCATGTGTTACGTCGTTCGTTTTTGTATCATTATGTTCGCAGTAGAATTCCCTACGGGAGTATATGCATATAAGGTCCAAAATCCCGGCGTGACTCCCCCACAGAAAACCTAAAGCCGGCCAACTGTTACCCGTGAACGAGCACCAATTGACACAGTGTGTGTTTACTTGTTCAGTTTGATAACATCAATTTTCGTGTTACATCTTTCATTTTGGTATCAAATTATTCACAATCTACAGGTGCGCATTTTAAACTATTCTCATAATAATAGAACAATAAATGGAATTTTTACAAATATTTTAAATTTTGGGCGCTCATCACCAAAAAAATTTATATATCTTTCCAGTGTTCTGACATCAATTTTCGTGTTACGTCTGTCATTTTGGTATCAAAGTGTTCGCAATCTAAAGCTGCACATTTTAAAACTAGCCCCATAATAATAGAACAAGAAATGGAATTTTAACAAATATTTTAAATTTTGAACCACAAAAGTATATACTGTATAATCTTTCCAGTGTTCTGACCTCAATTGTCAGGCTACATCGTCATTATTGTATTATATTGTGCACAATATAAAGGCGCTGATTTTGAAACCACTCCAAAGTTGATCGGATAAAATTTAAATTTTTTACACATATTTTAATAATGGACGCAAGCACGAGTCCACCGCTCGGACTCAAAAAGAAAAATACTGGACGCATATCACACCCATAGTGCACGGTAGTATTAAAAGTCCTAAACCCTTAAATGGCGCAGTTGTTTAAAAGTCCTACGTTGAGGTGAACATGGTTAAAAATAGTTAACAAATCAATTTGGAAAAAATTGCATATGGCTATTGTGGTACAGGAGGTAATCAGAGATAACAATTTAAGCAGTGTATGGGTAAATGCCAAGGATAGTTTTAGTAACCTCAGTTGCGAACAATATCCTAGGAAGGTTTGAATTGATAGATGCAGTTACATATATTTCTGGCCACCCCATCAGTAACATACCTCTGCTTATGCACTTGCCAAAAGAAAACAGACTTGTTCACTCATTGAAAGACTACCCACTGAAGATAAGGACAATTGCAAAACCACCTTGTCCCTTCTTTGGGGATCAGATATCAATCCGATAATAAGGCAAACTGTTCACAATAGCAATGAGAGAATTACAAAATGCTCAACCTCCCTTCAAAGTGTTTTAAAGAGTGCCAAACTATGAAAACAAAATTGAGAACAAGCTAATTAGTACAATGAATGATGACTCCCCACCACTGCCAGGTGGTGGCCACTACAAGCTGAAGTGAAGAGCCACCTACACACTCTAGCCTCGCATGAAAAAAATTCATAAGTGTTTATATATTGTTCACATTGCTTCTCTGTCACTCCAACCAGAGTAATGTTCTCTGATGGGTTCCATTCCTCCTTTCAAAAGACCCCTTTCGAATCAACTCTGTCCAGGATAGTGCTTTGGAATTTGGTTCCCAAGTGAGACTTGTTGAGAAGAAGGCTGAAAGCTTGCATGTATGTGTGTTTGGTGCTGGTTTGCACTGAGAGTTAAAATAATATTACACATATGAGCATTTACCTGTATTAGTAGGTTTTCTATACACATTGAACTTATAAGATGTTACAACTTTATTAATCTTTGTATCCAAAAATGGTATCAATTCCTCCTGATCAATTTCATCAATAAACTTAATAAATGGGACAATTTTATGTTTTAGTTAGGAAATAATTGAGTTTCTTTGTCTAATTTCTGAAAAATAATTCAGAAATTTGTCACAGACACAAAATATCAACACATCTGTACTATTTTCAAATTTCTTGGTGAAATATTATTAAATATCATAATTTCAAAGAACTTTATCTACAAATTACTCACTTTTAAGTATTGTATGTACATGTGCTATATGCATACCTTCACCTGTATATGCTGTACTTATTTATTTCACTATTTAAATAGTGTGTAATTATGATCAGCAGAATTATAACCATATTGAATTAATATTTCAGCTTGCTGGGTATAATGATCAAATTCTAGATGCCATTTTTGTGGGTGCTGGAGATACTCATCTTGTGGTGGCTACAAACAACATTCAGTTGCGTATTTACAACTGTCAAAACTTGAGCTGTCGCCTGGTACAGGGGCACACTGCCCTTGTATTATCACTGTCTAGGCATCCATCGCAGCCACAGATCTTTGCCTCCAGGTAAGTTTTATTTCAAGTATATACAGTAATGTCAGTCTCTTTTTTATGGTGAATGTGTATTCCATTTTTGTCTTCATTAGGATAAGGAGATGTGCTATGTTTTACCACCACATTTCACGAGGAAGAGTGCCACACTGTAAGACCATTTTATTGTGAGATCACTTCACTGTAAGAACAATTTACTGAAGTAACACTTGATTACTTGGATTCCTTCTGGTAATGATGCTAACATAACTCGCCAAAGTCTATCAATATTCTTAATGCCTTCTAGTACAATTGTCAATCATTGGTTACATAATATACTGCACAGTATTTTCATAAAAACAATCTAGTCCTAAGGCTAATTTTTTATTTAACGAAGTTGGCAGTAGTCAAAGGAATAGGACATAATTCCTGCCAGAATGATTATGAAAATGGGATTGTAGCTAATCAATTAGATGCCTGCACTCACGCATCACAGATTTATCATGTGATAGATGATAACTACTCTTGCCAACCTGTCACATGCACTGATTGCTGATCAAATGCATGGATCACTGGGTGATTGTGAGGGTTCAAAACTTTGAGACGTGTGGATGGCCACACTTCTCTGAGTAGTGAGACGCCACACTTGCCCACTGATCCATACACTTCCCAGCAATCAGTGCATGTGACAATTTGGCAAGAGTGGTTATCACAGGATTAATATGTGATGTGTTTACTAGTTGTGTTTTTACGGGGGTTGAGCTTTGCTCTTTCGGCCCGCCTCTCAACTGTGTTTACTAACCATGTTTTTTTTTTTTCCACACCACACACACACACACACCCCAGGAAGCAGCCCGTGACAGTGACTAACTCCCAGTACCTATTTACTGCTAACAGGGGCATTCTGAAAGAAACTTTGCCCTTGTTTCTGCCTCGTGCGGGAATCGAACACTACGAATCCTGCAGCTATCCACCAGGCTACGACCTTGTGAGTTAGCTGGCTTGTCTTTCACCTGAGAAACCTTTAGTTAGTCTCAACATTCAGACTCTTGTTCATGTCTGTGCCATTTTTATAATCGCATAGTGTGTTGCTTATTATATATAAATTTATATACCTTGCAATTGCATAGTTCTTTATTCATTTTATTCTTCAAATTTAATCTTCACATAATAAATACATCTAATTTTATTGATTTCTTGACTTAGATTATGCATAATGCATTTTATAGATAAATAATATACAGTACCACTCATTTTAGCATATATACATAAATTTTGTCATTATTTCTCATTAGTACTTCAATAATCACACTGTATAAGAATACTCATAATATTTTATATAGTAGGTAATTTCAGTTGTCATTTTATTTCTACAGTTCCCATGACAATAGTGCTCGTGTGTGGTGGCTGAGAGAAGATGGAACTGCGGTGTGTGTAGCTACAGCTGTTGGTCACACACTTAGTGTAGGCTGTGTTGTACTTGCTCAAGGTAAGTTGTCTTCCAAGAAACTTGCATCACAATGTTCAGCAGATTTTGATTTGTGCAACATTTCATTATTATCATTATTATTACTCCATATCTTACTATGAGGGCTGTCATATATAAATACTTTCACTCCCTATACAGACTGTTGCCAACTAGTCCTTTGCTGCCACATCTTGTACAATATTCGTACTTAATCTTTGCGCCTCACATGCCATGACTGCTCATTATTTTGGGGTTTCTTTTTCTTCTCTTACCTCTTGAATACTTTCTTTTCAATAGTGCATTATCTTTCATTAGTTCAACATGACCAAACTAACATTAGGATTAGATACAGCCAATTTATACATACACACCCTGCATCATACTGCATATAAGGATCATGCTATGTAGTTATGTAGTATTATTAGTCTTTAGTTAATAATGGTAAAGGTGCATGATTTTATAGTGTTAAGATTGTCAGTTTTACCCAGATATTTAGATTAGCTATTTAGGCACCATTATTTATTTATGCAGTACTTGATCACTTTTTCTCTATTTAAACATGGAGCTCGTGTATTGGAGCAGGTCTAGTATACAACTATCCCTACCATATATAAGGAACTTATTTTTACATTTTCCTTATTTTCCTTCTATATTTGGTAAAAATATAACCAGTTTAGACCTAAATGTTCATAATTAATTTTGACCATTTAATACTGATTTGGAGTCACTCGCATTTCAGATTTTTTTGGGGAGGGGGGGGGATGCTGACCACCATCTTAAATTAGTTTGCCTGTACAGTATGTCAAAATGTTTTCTGCTGTAGCATCTTTCCAGTGAATACACTTTCTAGTTATTTCCCTCTCAAATTAAAGTCACAAGTATTTACAATAAATGACTACAATAATAATTTTTTAATAAGTGTATCTAAATGTTACTTAATTTTGATTTCTCCAGGTTTTGTAGTGACTGGTAGTCAAGATATGTGCATTAAAAAATGGGCTCTTGACAAGGAAATAGAAGCGAGAGATAATTCTATCAACGGTGTTGCTACCTTATCATCCACACATACTGAAAAAGCCCATGATAAAGATATTAATAGTATTTGCGTGTCAGTCAACTTCAAACTTATTGCTACAGGCTCACAAGATAAAACTGCGAAGGTGAGAAATATTTCATACTGTATTTACTGTATTTTTACATATACTGTACTGTATTTTTTCCCCCACACAGAAGATAGAATATATATGCCATACTATGTCTTGGTGGGTAAGCCCTGTTCAACCACAGTGTACTAAGCACCTTTACCTATCAGTGCTTACCTCTCAATAACTACAGATGTGTGAGATCAAGCTCTTTATGCCCTGTCTCCATCTTGTCATGCTAAATACATCTCTTGATATTCAAGTTTTATGTCATATTTGATTTTTTAAAGTTGTGGATGGTAGGGGCCTCAACAATGATGACCACTTGAACCGGGTATGAGAATTTTCTAATATCACTCCAACTTGATTGCATAGCTAGCTTCCTCCAGTGCTTTGTTATACCCAGTTTAAATATTTTGTCCTTGTCCTTGTCTATTCCTGTCAGTATCATGTATGTAGTAATAATTTCTCTTTCCTCTTTCTTTTGAGGTCAGATTCCCTTAACTGTCCTCATAATTGAGGCCTCTCAATTCTGGCAGTAGTCTAGCTATAATCCCAGTACTTTTGTCAATATGAGGTCAAGTAGCAGATTCCATTCTGATGCTGCATACTGAAGTAATGCTCTCACTTCCTATATGTCACTGATATGTTCCTGTTCACTTGAGCTTCTGGTTTTAGCGTTGGATTATATTTATATCCACTCCCAGGTCCTTTGCACCATAGGACTATGGAGCCTTTCTGGTCAAAACTCGCTACTAAATCTTACTGTGATGCATAGGATCACAATCTTCTTTATCTAAGCTTATCAGGGCGTGCCATTTGCCCAGGCATTGTCTCATTTGCTATTTACCTCTCATGGCTGTCGCTGTAGACCAGTCTGCTTACCTGCCTAGCTGGATACTTTTTAATTCTATATAATATAAATTTCTTGGAGGTTATTGATTTGATTAAAGTGTTGTTTGCATACAACCCATCCTCCTGTTTAGATAGTAATTTTTGTAACTGTGCACCATAGTACAAACATTGACATACTAAGCAATTAGATAGTAGACTTTGGTACTATTCACTTCATAGTCCCCCAAAAAATTTAACTTAACAAACTTAAATATTTCCTAGGCCTAGTATAGCGCACACATATGTACTATATTAGGCCTTAGATACCATGTATTAAGCCTAGGAAGGTTAGGTTAGTTTGTCTTTGCAACATAAATAGAAAATATTTTTCAGTTTTTCCAAATTCAACAGTACCAATTTATACTTTCTAATTGTGTTGTACATCGTAATATGTACTATGGTCCTCATCGTTACTATAAGTACTACCAAGACAGGAAGATGGGCTGTAGCATAACGCCTCAGATTTTAGTAGTTTCACTTGTTAGTCACTATACTGCCTGTGTAACCAGTGTCCTTGTAATATTTCTCTTGATTAAGCCAGCATAATTAAAATGAGAATTAGAGAATTTAGAGAATTTACATTTAGAGAATTTTAAGCTTTTGATGATTCTGATGATTTACAAACTTAATTGGTCATGCAGAGCTACCAGTAGACATGCCTTTCTTAGGTATCACTATTACTAAAAGGCTATTAATTCATCATTTTATGATGACAAAATTCACTTATAAAAATTCTCAGCTTAGCACAGAATTCAATGAAACCTATAGGGAGCTTTTTCACCCTCCAAATCACCCATATTCATGAACTATAGATATTTCCAGCTTAACACACAAAATAAACCTATTGGATGGTCATTCATTGCTACCTGCCATTATTTACTCTCACTGGAGGATGATTGTGTCAAAATATGGCATTTACTCACTAAAACAGTTGTCATGAAGTAAATTATTTAAACCATCAAAGTTTTCCTTTAAGCTCCTGCTCCCTCCCTTGTGGCTTTACTTTGTGTGCAGAGTTTGTTCTTTACATCAGGAAGTACATGAAGTATACCTAGGTCTGGAAACCCAGAGGTGTCTTATGGTGATGCTGCCTGGTGGTATTTGGGTCAGGTGGCCAGGTAGTGGAATCCTTCCTTGGTGGTCACCCGTGATGTCAATGAAGGTTAAGAATTAAATTGTTTATGATTAGACTTTTGTTAGTCCTTCAGGGTTGGATTTCATGTTCTCTAGTAACTGTAGTACCTATTATGATATAGATACAGTACTTCGAAAATTTTCTTGTGGCATCAGTGTCATTGCTGGTAAGTCACTGGCTGTCTGTATATGACCCTGTCCTACAGACACAGTGGATCTTATTATGGGAAGCAGTCATATGATCTGCTCAGAAAGGTGCTACAGTATTCATATTAACTCAGTCTTATTTTTTCACATGTTATTAATTTTCTTTAACAGATCTGGGACAGCAAGAATTTGTCACTATTGGGAATCCTTCGGGGTCATCGGCGAGGAGTGTGGTGTGTTCAGTTCTCTCCTGTAGATGAGGTCTTGGCCACGGCTTCTGCTGATGCCACTATCAAAATCTGGACAGTGTCAGACTTTACTAATGCTGCAGTAAGTCTGTTTATTACATGAAAATTGCTAAATTTCTTTATACTTTAGTACTTTTCATATTGTGTGTGAAAATTATAAGTCTGCAATAATAATTTTTTGTAAGTGTATCTTGATATATTTTCATTGACAATTGCTGTCAACCAACTTAAAATACTTATGAGACAAGGTTTAAATACCATAATTAACCCTTGGGCTGCACCCCATGTTTAACCCTTAAACTGTGCATGGCGTATATATACACCATGAGTAACATGTCCCACAGTGCACATGGCGTATATATACGTCATAGGGTGCCAGGCACGATTCAAATGGCCCGCGGCTACACAGGGTTCACATTAGCTTCCTCAGGGCTCTTGTAAACAGACGTCATGTTTAAAAAAAATCGTGGGCAATATTCTCCAGTGTGAGAGCCACAGTACTGTGGGAGCAACCAAGGCTGGTGCACGCAGCATGAGCTAACAGCATTGCTATTCAACTTGTGACCACAGCATCGCCTAAAAATGTCAAAATAAATATGTAACTGCTATTATTTAGAGATGACAGTATTACAGATGACCCCTGACTGTGATAAAAATGACCAGGATTGTGATAATTAGCGCTGTGGGAGGAGTAATGCTGAGGGACGGAGGGAGATAGCATCGTTTACTGACTGTGTGGCCACCTGTTATTGTCTGCATTCACCATACCAGCTCAATGGTTTTCTATGGTGAACACAAATGTAGATACTTACATATAATGTGTGTATTAGTGTAATAACAACAAAAGGATTATGATGGGAGGAGCCATTTGGGTGACAGAGGTGGCATCATCTGCATGACTTGTCTAGCTGTGTAGAGGGTGGCCACTATGTTCTTTGGGCACCCTACAAGCTTAGGTGTACAGTTACGATGCATACAACATGTAGATAGTTATATATAATGTGTGTATATAGTGTAATAACACTGCAAACAATATTGTTGGGGAGAAATTTTAGTGCGTGTGACCTTGAATGAGTGAGGGAGGCAGCCGCCAGCTGACTGTGTGTAGCGACGACTCTTAGTGCCTGAACTAACTATATCAGCTTAGTTGTACAGTTGTGGTGAACAAAACATATAAATATTTATATATAACGTCTGCATATAGTGAATTAAATAAAAAAACAGGATGGTGGGAGGAGAAAGTGGGCGTGTAAGGCGTTGCTGAGGGAGTGGCAACGAGTGGCTGGCTGTTGTATGGCAGTCACTCCTCGTTGCTTTTTCGACTCATAATGCCAACTTAGTAGTTCGTTATGGTGAACAAAACATGCAGATACTTATATATAACCTGTGTATAGAGTGTAATAACAGCAAAACTATTTATTTATTGTTTTATGAACATAATTGAATCACTAATATGCACACCATACTTTTGAGTATAGCGATGATTCACCCCTTTGATTATATAAATCTATCACACTATACACTATTGAATAATATTACTGCAAAAAAATTAAGAAAAAATGAGACATTGAAATAATTAGTTAATAATATCCTTGTGGCAACTCCCACCTGTCAGCTCGGGTGACGCTGACCGCCGCTGACGACCGCTCTGTCAACACCCACATTTTGCCAGACTTCCTCGGCCTATTGCGGCCAAAATATGTCGCTTACTATTTTTTTTTTTTTTTCCCGTGTTCGAGGAACACAAATTAACATTTTTAGAAGACAAAATGACTTTTTAGAATTTTTTTCTTGCGTAGGGGTATAAATCTCCTCAGGACCCCTTAGCAGCTTAAGGGTTAAAGCAGACAGTATCCTGGTGCACGGAAAAAAAAAAAAAATTGTGTTAAGTGTTTGGAAGGAAAGTCCTCTTCCATTATAACATCAGGTAGTGATGGAATTTCTGCGGTACACTCTTCCCTACGCTTTGTAGGCATACCATTAGGACCTAGTTGTGGCTCACTGGATGTTTGTCTCGCTAAGAATCTGTCTAAAGACACTTATTTTTGCCTACCTTTTAGTGCAGGGGCCTGACAACTAAGTGGACAGCGCTTGGGATTTGTTCCGGGTTCGATCCCCGGCGAAGGCGGAAGCAAAATGTCTCCCCATTAAAGTACAGTACGTTGCTAACTCTAACCACAACACTGCTATTGTTATTTGAATCCTAGTCACTAAATCCTGAATACGATCCCGTTTCATGAGGCTTAGATCCACCAAACCATGGCTGTGTGGTGTGGATGTCTACTTTGAGCTGTGAACATCATGACCATCAGTGAATTCATTGATATCTGAACCTTTTACATAGTTTTTTATCACAGTCAGAACTTCATGACACTATCATCATTTAATAATTGCAGTTACTAATTTATTTCATCATTATTAAGTATTTCTGTGGGCATGAGTTGCATGGTAGTGCTGTGACCTGCTGCTACATGCACTACTGTATGGGTCTCTTAAAAATAATGATACGACCACCAGGTCGTTTTGAAACAAAATGAACAAAATGACCACCAGGGCCAAAGGAACAAAACCCCAGGCGCTGAAGAAGAGCATGAAGCTCCCCAACCCAACTCCCAGAGATTAAGGCCAACAAAAACAATGCCTTCCAAAAACAATTACGAACCGAACGGGCTACCACAAACTTAGAAGAAAGAAGAAAGAAAAGAAAGAACCAGGTCCAGTGACCAAGAAGGCTCAGGCGGCGCATGATCAGGCCGGAGGTGAAAGAATGCACAAGAAAGCTTGCAAAACGGAGCAGAAGTGACATCCACCCTGAACTCATGCTGCAGCAGCTCTCCAACTCTGCACGATAAGAAGCAACAGTATTTGGCATGAGATGCCGATCCAGAAAAAGTCACGAGAGAAAGAACAAAACAACCTCACCAACACCAAGGAAACCTAACGAAGAGAAAGAAAATGGTGGAAAGACTGCCAAGAAACTTCATACTGTTGCTGAGACGAAGACCATAGGTGGGACACCATCAAAGAAGCCACCTGATCACCATACAATTGACAGTACACATGCATCAGAAATGCCAGATGTGCATCGCGGAGGAGTAAGTCGAACAAGCAAGGTATCTGCCTGGGTTTGGATACTGAGCAAGCAGCGCCTGAAACCAAGGCTGGTCCGGCTACCATGGGGCCAGGAGAAGAACTCTCCCACGATAGGATTCCAGCTGAGCCAGAACCTGGAGCAGAAGATGGATCGGGAAAAAAGAGGTACAAGAACCCCCACGTACACCAGTCCTGCCGAAAATCATCCACAGGGAGAGCCTCGCAGTCAGGGAACTGCGCCACATACAATGAGACACACTGCGATCACGCAGACGCGAAGAGGTCCAGCTCCGGGCGTCCATGTTCCCAGATGCGCCTTAGTTAACTGTACCAGTTGACTAAGGGAATTATGTGAAACACCGATTGTGCTTTGGAGAAGCTTCGGGATCCTCGTGAGGTCAATAGCACTCCATGTTGCAATTCTTTGACCATGTTGTGGTACAGTTGATTAAGGTGCATCTGGGAACATCCTGTATGTAGGTTCGAACCCTCATCATGGCCCTTGTGGATTTGTTCATCTCACTACTGCTGGCCTGCACACACTGACACCTGCCCGACCACTGGTTGATACCTGGTTGATGGGGTTCTGGGAGTTCTTCTACTCCCCAAGCCCGGCCCGAGGCCAGGCTTGACTTGTGAGAGTTTGGTCCACTAGGCTGTTGCTTGGAGTGGCCCGCAGGCCCACATACCCACCACAGCCCGGTTGGTCCGGCACTCCTTGGAGGAATAAATCTAGTTTCCTCTTGAAGATGTCCACGGTTGTTCCGACAATATTTCTTATGCTTGCTGGGAGGACGTTGAACAACCGCGGACCTCTGAGGTTTATACAGTGTTCTCTGATTGTGCCTATGGCACCTCTGCTCTTCACTGGTTCTATTCTGCATTTTCTTCCATATCGTTCACTCCAGTACGTTGTTATTTTACTGTGTAGATTTGGTACTTGGCCCTCCAGTATCTTCAAGGTGTATATTATTTGATATCTCTCGTCTTCTTTCTAGTGAGTACATTTGGAGGGCTTTGAGACGATCCCAATACTTTAGGTGCTTTATTGCGTCTATGCGTGCCGTATATGTTCTCTGTATTCCCTCTATTTCAGCAATCTCTCCTGCTCTGAAGGGGGAAGTGAGTACTGAGCAGTACTCAAGACGGGACAACACAAGTGACTTGAAGAGTACAACCATTGTGATGGGATCCCTGGATTTGAAAGTTCTCATAATACATCCTATCATTTTTCTGGCTGTCGCAATATTTGCTTGGTTATGCTCCTTAAACGTTAGGTCGTCAGACATTATTACTCCCAAATCCTTTACATGCTCTTTTCCTACTATGGGTACATTTGATTGTGTTTTGTACTCTGTATTATGTTTAAGGTCCTCATTTTTACCGTACCTGAGTACCTGGAATTTATCACTGTTAAACATCATGTTATTTTCTGATGCCCAGTCGAAAACTTTATTAATATCAGCTTGAAGTTTTTCAATGTCTTCAGCCGAGGTAATTTTCATACTGATTTTTGTGTCATCTGCAAAGGATGATACGAAGCTGTGACTTGTATTTTTGTCTATATCTGATATGAGAATAAGGAAAAGCAGCGGTGCAAGGACTGTACCCTGAGGTACAGAGCTTTTAACTGCACTTGGACTAGATTTTATATGGTTGACCGTTACTCGCTGGGTCCTGTTTGACAGAAAACTGAGTATCCAGCGTCCTACTTTACCGGTTATTCCCATTGACTTCATTTTGTGTGCTATCACACCATGGTCACATTTATCGAAAGCCTTTGCGAAGTCCGTGTATATCACATCAGCATTCTGTTTTTCTTCTAATGCCTCAGTGACTTTGTCATAGTGCTCAAGTAGCTGTGAGAGGCACGATCTTCCACTGCCGTCTGCCTATCCACCCACTTTGTCACCTGCCCACCCACTCGCCCTCCACGTGTTTTTCCCTTACATGATTCTAGGGCTGGTGTTTCTGAAAGATTTTCTTTACCACCGTGCTGCACCAGCCGAGAAAACTCAGTCGGTGGGAAACTGCGCTAACCGAGAAACCCCCTTTAGAATATTTTATATCCATTCAAAACGCGTGCGTGGTAGGTTGTGTACGAAATGAACTCTTGAGACCTCCAGTGAGAGGCAGCCATCTTGGAAAAAATATCCAGAATGTCCTAGGGCTACTGGCTGGGCTAGTACTGAGTGAGCAATCATGGGTGGCACACGTGCGCCACCCATGGTGCACATGGTTGCGTCGGACAAACACCTGTCCGACGTGGTGTTGAAAGATTGCTCTCTGTCGGTGAAATTCAGACCCTTATTGTTTGAAGAACATAAGGGTACTGATATTGATGAAGCTAGGCGCAATAAGGACCTAACACAAAGGTCGGATGCAAGTGATCAGCACCGATGAGGACAATATAGTGAGCATATCTAGTTGTAGCTCTGAGCGCCACCCTTGCCCACCCATGCCATTTCCAATTTGTATAGATGATACATAGATAAATTGTTATCTGGGTTCAGTGAGGATGCATCTGATACAAGTAGCATAGATGAACAGTGTTAGTGGCTTCCATGGTTGTATTTTCCATAGATATTTTCAAGAATAGCTGAATCTCTTCCAGAATGGCAGAATCTTTTCCTGATTGACTGAATCTCTTCCAGTGACTGAATCTCTCCCATTGAGGGACCTTACAAAGCGATCTTTTCAAGACTACCTTACAAATTGATCTTTTCCTATAATCTTTTTCAAAACTACCTTATGCTTTACAAGCTTAGCTACATACCACCTACAGGTACTAAAGCCAAGAGTGTACGTGAGTGCGTTATTTGCAAGCACACAGAACGAAGAAAGAGGAAGCGAAAATCTATCTGTACCTGGTGCAACGAGAACGAAGTCACGCTGTGTACCATGGACTGCTTCATTTATTATCACTCGCTTCCAAAGTACTGTACTAAGTGTGTTACTGTGTAAATAGTGTGTGAAACAGTACATATTGTAATTTTAGTGAATTTTTAACAAGTAATATTGTGACAATAAACATTTATTGTGGACACATTGCTGACATGTGTATCACAGTTCCATGGAACATTATGAATGTTCTACTGTATACATATTGTAAAGGACACAAATATGCATCATATACGATAAAAACAAAACAAATTAAACCTCATTGGAAATACATAGAACAAATAATTGAAAATGTATTTGTGGCAATTCGCGGTGCTTGAATGGCCCGCACGACTGCCTCTGGGAGCTTCATACACAGGCGACCAGCCCATGACGCCTCCCTTCTCCACGTCCCCACAGCCAAAGGAAGTGAAAGTTTTTAGTTTTTTACATGTACGTGTTCAGGGAAGGAAATTTATCATTTTACAAAGATAAAAACAAAATTTGCGAACTCTTGATTTTATGCACACGGGGGAATGTCACAATAAACTCGGCACATCACAGTGGTTAAACCCTCCCATCCCCACCAGCCTCTTCGTCCCTCTCACCTGACATCCATTTGGTCCCTCCACCATCCATCCGTTCAGTTCCCCCACCATCCATCCATTCAGTTCCCTCACTATCCATCCATCCAGTCCCCTCACTATCCATCCATCCAGTCCCCTCACCATCCATCCATCCAGTCCCCTCACCATCCATCCAGTTATCTCACTTCTCATTTTGGTAGTAAACTAGTTGCCATGGAACATCGTGGCAATCACTGTGTTCCCAAGTTGTGCCAGTTTTATATTAAACACTTTTCTGTCGTCATTCTGTCCTAGATTGAGCATTCTCTAGTCTCCAGCATCAGTAAGAACTAACAGATTGAAAGGTTTCCCATTAAGATAGTGAGGAATGTCAACATACCCTGACTGTTGTTGATACCTTACAGATGCAAGTAGGTTCTTGCCTTGGGAACAACAACTTAAAAAAAGCACTTTTCATAAATTTATAGCTAGATGTTTGGCTTTTATGTATATTTTTAGTTAAGGCTTGTATCATATTACAGTATTATTAACCCACCCTATAACAGACCCTTGAAGGCCACAGTGTGAGTGTTTTACGGCTATCCTGGTTGTCTGAAGGACAACAGATACTTTCTACTGGCTCAGATGGACTTCTTAAATTATGGACAGTCAAGACCCGTCAGTGTGTGCAGACATTTGATGAACACGAGGAAAAGACCTGGGCTTTGGTGGTATCTGAGGATGAGATGAAAGTTGTAACTGGTGGGGAGGATGCCACACTGGTGCTTTGGAAGGATATTACACAAGAGGAAAAGGATAAAGCTTTAGAAGAGGCTGTAAGGTATGATAAGCAATGTTCATACTTTATTAATACAAAACTCTGGTTAATGCAGGGAAATCTTCCAAGGTTTTTTAAATGTTTAGAATAACCGCACAACACCCCTTATATGTCCCTTTCATTAATTTATTATAATATTCATTTTAATGGAAATTTTATTACTGTATTATAACACAAGGCTTCTTGCACAATGAAGTCATAACAAGATGTTGAATCTTTAGAAAATATTATAGTAATGGATGGGGTGGAACCTGCATCTCTGAACTTCCTAGAAATATGTTATTGTGATTTCAGTATATTGGCAGTGGCATAAGGTGGGGAACTAAGTAATGTACACCAGAATGTGGGCAGATATGTTGTACAGATTTGAATGTGGGGGTACCATCTGTTGTCTTCCAAATTCCAAGTAAGTCTAGTAGGACTACTGCTTGAGATGCTTTTAGCATATGGTACACTGGGTAGTGCATGTTTCTGGGGAGTCTGAGAGATGAGTTTAATTCCACAAATTGCCATTTTTCTCATGAGAGTACTATTTTCTTCCCATTCTCAATACCATATATAAATTATGCTTTATCATGTTATAAAAAAGTACAGTATAATAGTCCCATTTTGGATCAGTTACCATCGGAAACTATGGTGGGATAAACATATGTGATAGTGGTGGTCTTCCTCGTCTCCATTTCTGTGACTGCTGTTTTCATTTGTTGGTGTCTTTCCCTTTTGACTGGCCCACATACACATTCATACTGAGGTAAACTTTAGCTTTGCTACATACTGTACTGTATTGTAAAGTATTCACTTCTCAGTACATGGAAGTCATAACTTCTTTGATAACTTATTAGCCAAGATCAACATGTTAAATATTTCATCAATTGTTTCATGAAAAATTGATCACCTTTGTGGTTATATTTAATATTTTTTGTAAACATGGTTTATCATGTGCATAAAATTGGATAAATTCTTTACAGACTTGCTGCAGAAGAACAGACACTCTCCAATCTCATTAAAGATAAGAAGTGGGCCAAAGCGTTTGGTATTGCACTACGTCTTGATCAACCTTTTCGTGCCCTGAAAGTCATGAAAGCACTGCTAGACGAATCTCCAAATCAGCTGGGAGATGTCCTTGGTAAACTACGCCAGGACCAAATAGCCTCACTTTTAGGATATGCTGCTATGTGGAACACAAAGACAAAAAATTCTCGTGAAGCCCAGGTATAGATATATTGTACTATGAAATGCAGACCCTGTTATGTTTTCCCTACAGTTGGAATTGTATCCATATGTCTAGAAGCACTGGATAGAATAGCTATCCCTAAATAAATGTAAAAAAAAAAAAAAAAAGGTAATTAACACTTTGGCGTGCCCCGCGCGCCACCCCTCAACTGTGCGATTTGGGTCCCAGCGTTTCACGGGAGCGCGCGTTAATTCTGAAAAGTGTATACTCTCTTCAACTTTGTCACCTTAATTCTCATCCTACGAGATTAAATTTGGTATCATTGTGTTCGCAATAGAATTCTCTACAGCACTAAATGCATATAAACTCCAAAAGCCCGGCTAATTACCCGCAGCAAACAGAGAAAGTGCGAATGAGTTACCCAGGAGCGCGCAAAAGTGATAAAATGTGTTCACTCTTTTCACTCTGGTAACCTCAATTTTCGTCCTAGGTCTTTCATTTTGGTATCAATGGGTTTGCAATAAAATTCTCCAGAGGAACATTAGCATATAAAATAAAAAACCTGGTCATGCTTCACCCGCCGACGAGTTGAAGACGGGCCACGCGTTAACCGCGAGTGAGCGCCCAGACGCCTTCCAGCTACACTCCCAATTCCAGCCCACAAATGTTCAGTATTTAGTATTTTAGTATATGTAGTATTATAGTTTAGTATTTTTTGTGTAGTAGTTGTACATCACATAAGCATTGTAGATAGCCATTTGCACAAAATAGATGGCCATTTTCTTCGTCCATTTGTGAGTTTTCCTTATGAAGTGATAATATTTGATCATTTGGTCAAAGTGATCAACACCTTTCATGTTTGTATTGTAGTCACAGATTGCATTCGGCTTGTTGACAGTTACCAAACAGTCCCAAAAAATCGGATAAAAACCTGATTTTTGGCAATTATTTTAGTGGATGACGCAATGCTGCGTCATCCCCGAGATTACCAACAGTAAACGGATGACGCAATGCTGCGTCATGCCCGGGCGAAAGTGTCAAGTATGTGCTACTGTGCATTAGTCAAATAATAGTACAGGTAATTATTTATCAATTCATTATCATTATTTCATTTCCTGCTTATTAGGGTGAGAAGGCACCAATCCGGAGAAAAATTGGGAATAGCAGGGCAGAGCTGGTATAGGTTGCCTACACTTTACATTTCAGTGTTTGTCTTTCAGTAGACACTGAAAATCTGATAGGTATAAATGCACAAGGTACAATAGCTATAAAGCGGGGCTCAAGAGCTGATTCTTGCTTCCTGTAGAATACAACAAGGAAAGCATAAGTACAAACCATGCAGTACATGTATGAACCATTCAAGTAGAGCTGCTAGAAACCAGCCAAAAATATGCAACCTTTCTAACATACTGAGCAGTGGGAAAGCGAAGCATGAATTGAACTCTACCAAAAATAGTAGGTAAGAGTCTACCTACTATTAGCTGTGTTTAAGCTTTGCTTTTTTCCTAAGTGCCGCAACATGAAGAAGCAAGCAGCAAGAAAACTCTGGATGAGGATAAAGCGAAGCCAATAATGTTGAGAAATATTCCAGCAGCAAGACAGTCTCAGCTGTCAGTGCGCCTGACAGCTGAGTGGACAGCTCTTCGGGTTCGTAGTGCTGAGGTTCCTGATTCGATCCCCGGTGGAGGCGGAGACAAATGGGCAAAATGTTTCTTTCACCCTGATGCCCCTGTTACCTAGCAGTAAATAGGTACCCGAGTTAGACAGCTGCTACGGGCTGTTTCCTAGGGGGGGGGGGGTAACAAAAAGGGGGCCTGGGCAAGGACCGGGCCGCGGGAACGCTAAGCCCCGAAATCATATCAAGATAACCTACCAGTTGTCGACCTCCAAATGGGAACATTACTTCTACCATGAGTGGTAGTCCATGAGGCACTGCTAAAAGATATAAACAGCATGTTCAAAGTGAAAGTAAGTAGGACAAGCAAGCATAGGTGGAAGTTAGAAATGCAAATGTGTACAAGTGTTTACTCGTGTAACTTCAAACAATAGCCGAGTTTGAATACCTCAGAATTTCTTTTGCAGATGCAGGATTCGAGAATGAATCATTCCATTATAGTAAGACTCCAATGTACAGTATATGTACAGAGGGAAGGAGAATTTTTACTTTAAAGAATATTATATTCTTTCTATTTTAAGATATGTCTGCTAGGGACCTGGGATTTTGCCATCAGTTGGCTGCGATTTAAACATATATAATTGTAGTTTCAAATACTGTATCACTAATTTTAATAAAATATTTATTAGTACAGTATACCATTCGGTTTCTTTCTATACATATAGTAATCCATTTTTTGAGTTCATAGTGACATTTTCTTATTTGACAGTGCATCATTAATGTGTTACTAAAGACACGCCTACCAGAGGAGCTTGAAGAACTGGGAGGATGGAAGCAGACACTAGAAGGGCTTGTTCCCTACACTGAACGTCATTTTCGTCGCCTGTCAGCCCTTCATCAGTCTTCTACAGTTCTTAGCTACATGTCATCTTCCATTTCTCTGGGAATGGATCCTAAGTAAGATCCAGGATATATTTAAAACTTTAAAAATGTGTTTTTGTCTCGAGAGTTTGGGATAAAAATATTTTTCTTTGATTAATTGGTTGAATAAAACAAAGTGTGCAGTAATTTTGAAGCATTCAGAATATTAAAAGTTTTTGTTGATTCTTTAAGTTAACCATTAACTTAATGGAGAGATTAGTGAGTATAGGTAGAGTGTACAGTGATTGAGGTAGGTATAGAAAGACAGAAAGGAGGAGGGAAATTAAAGCACGAAAGAGAGTGAGTGAGTGAGTCTCTAATTATTGAGACACTATGCTTTCCTACTTTGTTTGATGTTCCACATGATCAAGGGAGCCGGTCGGCCGAGCGGACAGCACGCTGAACTTGTGATCCTGTGGTCCTGGGGTCGATCCCAGGCGCCAGCGAGAAACAATGGGCAGAGTTTCTTTCACCCTATGCCCCTGTTACCTAGCAGTAAAATAGGTACCTGGGTGTTGGTCGAGGACCGGGCTGCTTCCTGGGGGGTGGAGGCCTGGTCGAGGACCGGGCCGCGGGGACACTAAAAAAGCCCCGAAATCATCTCCAGATAACCTCCAGATATCACACTAGTAGTTGTTCATCATATACTTCTGATTCATTCTCAGCGAGTTTTTCTGGGTATCCAGGATATTAATTGGCATTCTCTAATCCATTTGGAGTTCAGAGGCTTTCTGGGAACCATAATAAATGTCCAGAGGTTTTCTACAAAACTGGTGCCAAGAATAAGGAAGCTGGGCCATGAAAACAAGATAACTAAATATAAAGACATCAAAATAGAAAAAGAACAAAGGCGATATGACCAATACACTGTACATATACAGTACCTATCTTGCGGTTACCTTTCGATGATTTTGGGGCTCAGCGTCCCCGCTGCCCAGTCCTCGACTAGACCTGGTTGCTGTACTGGTCAACCAGGCTGTTGGACGTGGCTGCCCGCAGCCTAACGTATGAATCACAACCTGATTGATCAGGTATCCTTTGGAGGTGTTTATCAAGTTCTCTCTTGAACACTGCGAGGGTTTGGCCAGTTATGCCCCCGTATGTGTAGTGGAAGCGTGTTGAACAGTCTCAGGCCTCTGATGTTGATAAAGTTCTCTCTCTGGGTACCTATTGCACCTCTGCTTTTCAATGGGGTATTCTGTACATCCTGTCATGCCTTCTGATCTCATGTGGTGTTATTTCTGTGTGTAGGTTTGGTACCAGCCCCTCTAATATTTTCCACGTTTAAATTACTATGTATCTCTCCTGCCTGCATTCAAGTTAATACAGATTTAGGCATTTTAGTCGGTCCCAATAGTTTAGATGTTTTACTGAGAAAGGGTTTCTGCACACACTCCAGGTCAGCAATGTCTTCAGCTTTGAAAGGGGCTGTCATTGTGCAGCAGTATTCCACTGTAGAGAGCACTAGCATCTTGAAGAGTATCATTATTGGTATTGCATCTCTAGTTCGAAAGGTTCTTGTTATCCAACTGTCATTTTTCTTGTAGTTGTGATGGCTACTTTATTGTGTTCTTTAACGGTAAGGTCTTCCGACATGAGTACACCCAAATTCTTTACATTGTTTTTCCTTCTATGTTATGATTTGACTGCATTTTGTACGTGGTTCATGTTTTTATATTTTCATTTTTTCCATAGCGCAGGAACTGGAACTTATCTTCATTAAATACCATGCTATTTTATGTGGCCCATTGAAAGACCTGATTTACATCTGATTAGAGGTTTGCTGTGTCCTCTTATGTTGTCTACTCTCATAAAAATCCTAGTGTCATCTGCAAAGAATGATACGGTACAATAGTTTGTGTCCTTGTCTATGTCCGATATGATGATGAGAAAAAGTACTGGAGCAAACACAGTACCCTGGATGACTGAGCTCTTCATGGTTGATGGTCTGGATTTTATTTTGTTGACTATTACACATTGAGTTCAGAAAATTGTAGATTTACCTGCCTATTTTTCCAGTAATTCCTTTTGAAGGCATTTTGTATGCGATAACACCATGGTCACATTTGTCGAAGGCTTTTGCAAAATCTGTGTAAATTACATCAGCATTTTGCTTGCCTTCCATGTCATAGTGGTCCAGCAACTGTGATAGGCAAGAGTGCCATGTTCTGAAACATGTTGTCCAGGGTTGTGAAGATGCTGTGATTCCATGTAGTTTGTGATCTTACTTCTTAGCACTCTTTCAAAGATTTTTATGATATATGATGTTAGTGCTATTTGTCCATAATCTTTTGTCTTTGCCTTATTTCCTCCTTTATGATATATGATGTTAGTGCTATTTGTCCTATGATATATGATGTTAGTGCTATTTGTCCATAATCTTTTGTCTTTGCCTTATTTCCTCCTTTATGGAGTGGTGCTATTTCTGCTGCTTTTAGTATGTCAGAGATAATACCAGTATCTATACTCTGTCACTAAAGAATGTGAAGGGCCTGCAAATAAGAGTTCTAAGAATCAGGGCCTGGTGCAGAGTGCAGACATACTGTATATGGCTTCTTCAAAATCCAGTGGGGATAGGGTGACATCTGATACTATATGATTTGATATTGGTATCACATCCATGAAAAACTTATTTGGGTTATCAATCCAATATGCATCTCTATCTCCTCTTTTTTTTCTTAGTGGTATGCAGTGTGACCATATTTTTAGTGCTACTGCACTTATTTTTTTCAGGCACTGGTTCAGGTTTGCATTTTCTAGTTGTTCTTCCCAGCTTATTTCTGTGAGGTCTTTGTTTATTTGCTCCCAATTTATCTGTGTATTATTGAAATTGAATTTGCTGAATTCTCCTCCCCTGGGTTTCAGGACTGGTTGTGCAGGTCTATTCCCCATGTTTGTCAAAACGTTAATTAAGTTGTGATCTGAGTAACAGGTATTTGTAATCATTATGTTCCTGATCAATTCATCATTATTAATGAAAATGAAGTCCAGCGTGTTCTCTTTTTTAGTTGGTTCTGCTATTTACAGGTTTAAGGCAAATCTGTCACACATCCATAGTAGGTCATTTGCATGTGACTGTTCATTTAGGCTACTTCCCGGTATTCTCTCGGTTATAACTATTAGCCAGGGTCTTCCACTTCAGGTGCCGTAGGTTGAAGTCTCCAAGCAGGATGATGATTGGGGCTGGATTTGTGAGGTTTTCTAATCAGTTCTACTTTCATTAGTTGGTCTTTAAACTGCTGAGAATTTGCCTCTGGTGACTTATATACAAGGACAATAACTACATTTAGGATCTCTTATTTTGATTATCAGCACTTACACCATATCATTTGTGGTGTTTAGCAGCTCAGTGTAGGTGAGTGTATCTTTGATGTACAGACTGACCCCACCCTATAGCCTGTGTTTCCTGTCACATCATTGTACTATGAAATTCGTATTTCACCATCATGTAGTCCTTTGTGGGGGTTTCCGTTAGGGCTGCAAATACTGCATTTGCCTCATGTAGAAGGCCAGCTATAAAGTGAACTTTGTTAGATTTGCGTGTTTTTATACCCTGGATATTGACAAATAAAAATGTTATCGTGTTTGTGGAAGTGTTGATGCTTTATTTGGTGTATTTTAATATCTCAGGCTCTGGTAGGGAGGCCACTGTGTTTGTGTCCTCTCTAGCATTTGACCGAGTTGGTGGTAGAGCCTGGACATTTTTAGCTATTCTTCTCCTCTTTCTCTTGCTAAAAAATTATCCTGGTAAATATAGTTGTGGGTGTTTTCATTGTGGAAGTCTGTTGGTTTTATTCACCTGGTACCTCTTATATGAAAAGCTAGACATTCTGTGTTGAAATATTTTCTTATTAAAGAGTTCTTGCAAAGTTCTGGGTGAAAAAATAACAGCTTTTGGTACATTTACCCATACTAAGAAGGTTTCTGCACTTTCTGGGATGATCATATTTACATATTCCATTTGTTCTTCCCGATATCCCATGGTTTACAGATACCTCATTTATAATATCGACAGGTTTTGGGTCCTGTTTTCCTTGTTTCTCTTTGCCTGACCTTGGTGCCGCTACTGTGCCCGACCCTGGCACCAAGATCGCGCTCAGCTGGCTTTGGGTCTGAGACTGCACTTGGCTCTTAAGTAATATTGTATACAGTAAGATATTGAGGGAAATAGACACGGACAGGAACAGTTTTTTCAGATGAGGGAAATATAGCAATTGGGTACAGGTGGATGTTAGAAACACAAATTTTTGAGAGAAATGCAATAAATTACTCTTATGACATGTCAGTGGTATGTGGAATGATCTGGGAGCAGAGATACTGGAAGACACCTTCAATTTACAGTTTTGAGAGCAAAAATAACAAAAGTTCAGTACTGTACTAGAATGCTGAAAGGTTTGTACACACACAGTAGATACGAATAGCTATGAGGCAGAGCCCAAGAGCTATATATCACTCCCTGTAGGCAACAGTAGAAACACAACATCCATAGTCACTGTATCAATAACAACCATAATAAACAAACAAACAACCATCCAATATCCATTACATTAAATGCGCACTAAATACCAGCTTGCACTTTCTACGTGGACCTGCACTCACTACACGAGCCTGCATTTGCTACATGGACCTGCACCTGCTACACTGACCTACACTCATTAAACTGGCCTGCACTCACTACACCAGCAACCACTCATTAAACTAGTCATCATTCATTCACTTCACCAGCCACCACTCAACTTTACTGGCCACTACTCACTACATCAGCCGTCACTCGCTACACAGGCCTGCACTCACTATACAACCCGTTCTCGCAAATTCGTAAAGTCAATATTGACTTATTAACTACGTGCATAGGTGATATACTAAACATAATAGATACCCTTAAAAAGATTCATAGAAAACACCGACCTTACCTAACCTTGTTAGTATCTTAAGATAAGCATCTTATTGCTTCGTAATTACAATTATTACTTAACCTATACCTATTATAGGTTAGGTAATAATTGTAATTACGAAGCAATAAGATGCTTAACATACTAAGTAGGTTAGGTAAGGTCGGTGTTTTCTATGAATCTTTTTAAGGGTATCTATTATGTTAAGTATGTCACCTATGCACATATTTAATAAGTCAATATTGACTTATTAAATTTGCGAGAACGGGTTGCACTATACCAGCCTGTATTCACTAGAGCAGCCTGCACTCACTGCACCTCTTGTACTGATATTCATTACATTTTCCTGTAGTCATTGGCTGTGCAGTATTCATTTAACCACATTGTTTCATGAGGTATGCCAACCCTGTAATACCTTTCTTGTTTATCTTCACATGATCAAATCACATCTTTTCTTAATTAAATCACACCCAACAATAATTTTTTTTTTGTACCTGGATAGGGTTCTGGGAGTTCAACTCCCCAAGGCCAGGCTTGATTTGTGAGAGCTTTGTCCATTAGGCTGTTATTTGGATGTGAAGTTTAATATGACCCATTCATGTTGTGCAGTATTGCAATTTGTATTTAAGATTTGGAGTACATGGCATTGTTGATGTTTAATAAACAATGTTTTACTTGAAAATTTACATAATATATTGTGTAATGGGAATTTTTGTCAGTAGTAAGTTTGAAATAAATGACTTTGTATGATAATATTGATGTCTTTACTACATACTCTTTTTCTTTTCTCACTTCACAGAGGATTTACCCTACCTCCTATATTAGGCGATTTGGATCTCTTGCGAAATATACATTCTTCCCCATTGAAAAAAGAGGAAGCAGTGATAAAGGATCAAGGTGAGATGGATGATGATGATGAGGTGGATGATGAAGATGACGAAAATAAGGATCTTAGAGCTGAAGTTAAAGATTCTATTATGGAGGTGGATGATGATAGTGAGAGTGGTGAGGAAAGCGATGAAGAAAATAGTAAAAGGGATGTTGACTCAAATGAAGGTTTTGAAGAAAAGATTAAAAGAATTAAAAGTGAAGAATATGAAGACAACGAGTTAACCACTAAGATACTGCCAGCTTCTCTGGATGACTTGGATGCCAACTTTGTCTTTGAGAAGGTTGTTGTTGAAAGTTCAGGAGATGAAGATGAACAAATGATACCTGATGAAGACGAAAATGAAAATCCAAAGAAAAGGGACTTTTCCATTGAGCAGCTTCAGTTCGAGTCAAAAAGGGGAAGAGATGGCAGAGGAAGAGGAATCTTTAAAGACAGGGGAAGAAGAGGTGGAAGAGAAGGTGGAATTAATAACAGAAGAGAAGGTAACCCGAATAGAGATAATTTTGGGAAAAGAGGTAGTAAAGAATGGAACCCTAATTACAAGCGAGGAAGAGGAGGAAACAGAGGTCAAAGAGAACCTAGAGGTCGAGGGTTCAGGGGAAGGGGAAGAAGTAAAGTAGGTTTCAAGAGTAAATACTGATAAGTAACATTTGTAAACAAAAGTACAGTATATGAACTAGATTATTCAGAGAATATTTGTTTATTTTGGGTAATTTGTAGTTGTGAATATTATAAATACAAGTGTTTGTGAGCAAGTGTTTGAAAATCTGTAAAATAGTGTAATAAAAAGTTAACAATTTTAAAAGCTAGTTTTCTTACACATTTTCAATATTATATTGCAAACGAAAGATACAATAGTCAATTATAAAATGGACTACATAATGACAATAAGGGTACCTGTTCGAGGTACTGTATATTAATGATGAACATAATGCCGAGGAGGAAAGAAAATAAGATAGCTATGAGCCTCGCATAAACAATCAAAACACATAAAACAGGCTTATTTCTGTTGGAACACGACATTATGTACTTGCATTACACGTATTAACAACAGGTATAAAGAAACATCAAAATTCTTTTTAATGGACAAATCTCTTAATATTTCCATGAGGTTACATGCAAAACTTAGTCCAATATATATATATATATAAATGAAGGATTTTTTTTTACAGGAAAAACGCATATTAACCTAAGCATAAATATTTATTTACATAAAGAAGCATTTGTAAAATTCACTAATGAACCTGCTTGAAAAGCGGATAAATGTCTATATAAAGGAAATACGCCCGCCGCCCTCATTGCGTTGGCTGCGCGCGCATAGGCTTGAGGTACTTTTAAGCAAGGTCCTGGCACCGCTCGCCTTACGGGCTATTCATGCCCGTGCCACCTCTTGGGTGGATTAATCTTCAATCAATCACCGCTCTCCCTTATTCTCTGAGGTTGTGCGACGCGCAGAGCTTTCATGTGAAAAATACTAATATAAACGAAAACATTTTCTCTATAGAAATAATAATTTGTAAGAAAATAATTACAAACTTTGCGGTACAACACATTAATGTGTTGTAGCGCAAAGCTATTTGCATTACAACACATTATTGCAATATTTTACATGTAATTAATATAACAAAAAACTTAAAACTCTTTCCAATATTTTCTGATTTACCTGAGGGCCACTAACCCACTAGGGTTCGTGGCCCTCAGATTCAAAGATTTCACTAACATCGAAGTCATTAACCCTAGTGGTCTCGACGAGGACAGGAAACCGGCGGTCCTGCCTTGCCTTGATCTTTTCTAGGTATATTTTAAAACTTATAAAGATGGGTATGGGGTGCATAATAAATGAACTAAACCAATATGACACATGCATCATATTATGTGTGCGTGAACTCTGCTACCAAAATGCTTTTAGTAATTACAGAACTCAAATTCATGCACTTATTTATAAAGTGCAGTTAATATTTTATTTCGCGTAGCAAAATATTTGTCTTTCAAAGTTTCTGTCTGAATAAGAATCATAATTCCTGTTGCTATTATAGTTCTCAAATATCCCTGTGTTGAGGCTACTAATTATTTCCTCCATAATCTGAGATCCGTTGCTTTAGTGGTAGTCAACAAGCGTAATCCAGAATATACGTGTTTCACAGACCTTATGCGTCGAATTATTTTCACTCTGAACCCCAGCAAACTAAGATATCTAAGCGTGAAAAGCGGAGGCGAAGGACGTAGGTTATTTGATCTGCAAAATACTGCATATACTGATAAAAGAACTTCTTTGACAACAATATCATTTGTATTGCCAGTAAGTTTTACCATTTGGGTAAAAAACATTTCAAGGGAAAATTTCTCTGGGCTATCCACCGAATCAACATGAGTACTACGGTGTCTTTCCACCTTATCATATGGATCTGCAGACCTCTGAAGCCGAGTGCCGACTACTTGAGATTTTATTGAAAGATACTGTCCTAGTTGGAATGCTGTATGCTGTGAAGTGCTATTCATTCTTTTAGAAGCTTTTGCTCGATCTAAGGTTTTGTTTGTATTACAATTTCCTTTCTGAAACTTCAATCCATGAAACACATAATGCACACACCTACATCCAATTCGCTCTTTTACTACAATCCCACAGATACCAAGGTGCCAGACTACAAATGGCAACCATGCAGCTTGTATATTACGGTCCTTACAAAATGCTAGGTAAAATGATATCAAGTCTTTCTGAAAGACAATGTCTCTTGTCTTATTTGTCATTAACAATCGCGACATGCAGAACAATTCAAAGGACTGTTGACCAGGATACTGAAATACTTGGGCCATGCCATTGGGTTCATTTTTGAGGAAGGTGCTGGTGCTGAGACTGGACGACACTTGGTCAGAACTAGTCTTCACCGACTCGTTTTCAATCGCAGGTCGCCTTGCATATGTGAATTTAACTGGAAATTTTACAGATAACTCAGGATTTTGTGTAGTACCGGTGGGTGGGGAATCAAGTATCACAATTTCTGAGCTCGGATCTTCCCGATTGGGAGTTACCTGCTGCAATGGGACATGCACTGGTTGAGGCTTGGGTAGTTGTAGGTGATAATTATGTTTAGGAGCAGTGGGCGGACAATCAAGGATTACAATATCTGGGGATGATTCTCGAGATTCATCAGAGTATAGGATTAATCCTGCAAATCCATTACTACTTTCACACTCGTCAGTTAAAACTCCTAAAAACCAAAGGTGAAACACAATGGACGCCGCCTGTGCAAATTGGTAGTTATGAACACAGCAAAACGTTGTATATGCTGAAAGAAGATCATTTCGGGTCATATTGTCAGCAAGGTTATGGGTGATAATTAAATGCTTTTGTAAAAAGGCTTCAAATGACTCTCTGCCTGGATACTGCCATGGGAAACGCTCAGTTCCATATTCCAGATTATATTCATCTGTTACCCCAACAGTCTGAAAATCTCCTGGCGTTTCCCGAAACATCTGCAAGCCGATTGGTTGACGTGAACAAATAGTTGGAACGTATACACCTTCATCGGTACAAAAACATAATTCTGCATTAACTGTCTTGTGGAAAAACACACCCGGAAGCAAAGTGGATTTGTTATCCGTGGATTGGCTGAGTAGTCCTAGATACGAAAGATGCAAATTAATAGCTTTCGTATCAGCAATCTGAACTCCTTCCTTGTTGCAATATGTCACGTATTGTTCACTGACGTATTCATAAATGATTGAGTCCCTTTTATTTCCAGTTACATTAATATGTTGGATGAAAAACGTTTCAAAGAACTTTCGCCCCTGGTATTTCATTGAGAAGGACTGCATAAATTTCTGGTACAATCTGGAAACAATAAATCAGAAAAATATTAAATTATTTTATGTACATGCTAAAATATATGTACATGTGTATGTAATATTAACAATTGTGTAACTAGCTTGGCTAAACGAACCATGGGGTTTAGTTCTTAAACCGATTATGTGATTGTAACCCTTTCCGCCCACGCCCACGGGATGGGTATGGGGTGTATAATATGGAAATGAAATGGTAAAGTTACTGAAAGTTACTGTAAGACACTGTTGGAATTGTAAACTATTGTTACACATTGAGAACCAGGTAAATGTTGTTGTTATAATATTTTAATAAGTTCAGAGAATCAGGGGCAGGGGGTATGTGGATGCACATCTAGTTAAAAAGTTGCATATAAATGTCAGCCACTCTGGAATATCTGAATTATGTTTGAGTGTCGTAAGAAAGGGGGTGTACAGTTCTCATAATTTAAAACACTGTTGGTCAATTTATAGAATGCTGGCCAATTTAGAGACTGTTGGTCAATGTACTGGCTCTTAGCCGATTTACATTGTTGGTCAATTAATGCTGAAAGTGTACTATGCTAAAATGCCAAACGTGCTGTAGTTGTATAGAAGATATGACGGTCATATCAGGGAGAATAATGAATACATTAACGCAGAATGTTTCACAGAAGTATGGCAGCCTATTAACGTGATTATGCCAGTTTCAGTACATTTCATACATCTGGTTATTATTTTTATTATAATATTATTGTTTAGAGTTGAGAGGGATTATACTCCTCATACCAAGACAAGATTTGCTTGTTCTAATAAGATACACTTAATATACATAAATGAGGGAATATAAACAACAGTTTCCTTAAGTAATACCTATCTCAGTTGTTTCTGGACTGTCATACTAAGCAGGGAGCCCTTGGATTCTATTTACTCTTTGCCCGTGAAATTGTACCTTCTGTGAGGAGAAAATACTAAAGTCCAGAGTTGAACAGTTAACTAAGATGTGTTCCCGAAAAAATTATTAATACATTCAAACAGGATAACTTCCAAATTGTGAAGAAGTTAAAATGCGAAAATTTGGATTTTAAGTGTAGCTCCATACTCCACCTCCCCTGTGGCCGGATTTAACCAGCCCATCATTGTGAAAGGATGTGATGATCGAGTCTTGATAAATTGTTGTTAAGTTTGACTTAATATTATTTGTTGTCTTAGCCTGTTGACAAGATCTTGATATATGCGAGTTTTGCGTGACTTATCTAAAAATAAATTACCAACACCAGGAAGGTGTTGGTAATTAAGAACCTCTTAATCAACCTCTTTAAGAACACGAATCTTGTTGAAATTTAACTATAAGAAATTGAGCCTAGTCCAATACTGGTAATTTAAACAAAAATTATCATAAATTAATCCACAGCTGTAACAAAATGATCTATCTATGCATTTTACTTCATTATACTTTATACATTTTTGCGTATTTTGAGTAGGTAGAGTTTTACGAAATAGACATCTTTGCCTCTAACTTTTAGGACCTATTCAATTCATAAACACTTGAAATATATCCTGATTTGAACCAAGGCAGCATCTGAGGACCGCTCCTATTGCTTGTATACAACAATGATTTGCCAATTGTTTCTAACATTCCTAAACCTATAATATATGTTGAGGCTACTACCTTCATATATTGTGACCCCAACCCCCACACACTAAATAATATTGTAAATAATGAATTTAAAAAGTCCACTCATGGATGTCAACCAACGAACTCACACTGAACATAGAAAAGACCTACTACATTTTACTTGGTAGTAAATCATCAAATCAAATTCAACTTCAGATAAACAATGTTAACATTAACAATAAAAATGAGGGAAAGTTCCTTGGCCTATACATAGACAAGAGACTTAACTTTAGCACCCCCCATTCAACACATCAACAAAAAAGTCTCAAAAACGGTCGGTATCTCTAAAAGAAGATACTGTATTATGTTCCCCACTCTGCTCTCCTGTCATTATACTACGCGATAATCTAACAATATCTTACATACGGTATCTGTGCATGGGGTTCAACCACTGCAAATTACCTCAAGCCTATCATCACTCTCCAAAAATCTGCTATCAGAACAATAACAAACTCTGTTTTCAGACAACAAACAGCCACTCTATTTAAGTCCCTTAATATGCTAAACATAGTCACTTCACACATTCTCATGTGCTATTTACAAATATAAAACCTTGTTCCCAAATACTAATCTTGATCTGAAACTTTTCCTAGATAGAGGTAATAGAACCCGTGAGGACCACACCAGAAATAAATATATCTTTGATATCCTCAAACTAAATCTGTGCAAACACTCCATGCAAATAAAAGGACCCAGTCTATGAAACTTACTCCTTAACGAATTAAACAATTGTCCAACCTATGCCTTATTCAAAAGTAAAATAAAAAAGTACCTATAATTTCATCCTCATAATTTCCTACCTTGTGCCTCAAACTCACACTGTATCTTGTATTACCCACTTCCCCAATATTCAGCCCATCCTCATGTTTTGTAGTACTTAGAGTAATGATGAGGACCATGGTATATATACCGACTTACAACGAAATTAGAAAAGTAGATATCTGAATTATTGAGTTGGACAAACCGGAAAACTAATTTTTACTTGTTTCTTTGACAAACTAAACTAAACTAACCTAACCTAATCTTCCTAGGCCTAATACACAATATATGAGGCCTTATATAGTACATATGTGTGTTATACTAGGTCTAGAAATATTTAAGTTTGTTTTTTAGCTTCATTTATTTTGAAAGAATTCCTTATTAGTCAGTACACTACTTTCTATATAAAAGCTAAGTTCGTACGAATTCGTGACTATTGACGACCGTCACAATAGGTACTATCTAAACAGGAGGATGGATGGGTTGCAATATTAGTACTTAACACATATATCTTCACCTGTGTAATCACCACTGTCAATTTTTTTGTAGTTTATATGTAGATATAAAACTTTGCTAAAATGTGCCTTTTTATCTTACCTGATATGTTAGATTAAGGACCTGCTTGAAACGCTATGCGTGTTTGTGACTTTGCAAGAACGTAAAAATTCCAATCTTATGTAATCTCACTAACCTATGCTGCATAAATACCTTCTTGTGAATAAAGATTAAGATTATTATTATTATTAGTTATTATTATTATTGTTATTATTGTTATTATTATTATTATTATTATTATTATTATTATTATTATATCCAATATTTTATATCTAATCACACTTGTCAGAAAGACACCTTTTATATTTTCATAATAAACACAGACTATCCTAGGGCAGAAAATAATAAGCTAAAATTCAAAGCCGCTTGAATTTGGGGTAGTCAACAAATTGATAGTAAACAAGATATAGACAACATTTCAACCAGAAAACAACAGAATAAATGAATCTAACACCGCAAATGGAAGGAGAGTAATTTGTCGACGTTATACATAATTTCATTCTCATATATCACGTCACAGGTCCCGCCCTATATATATAACATCCTATATAAAGTACTGACAACAGAGAGTATAGACAATCCAGTAGGAGAAAATTAAAGCCCACATGCAAGGAAATATAGTGCTATAAAACACAAGCGGGGTTCAGAAAGATCCCCGAGATTGAACAAATCTACAAGGGCCGTGGCGAGGATTCGAACCTACGTCCGAGATCATCCCAGACGCTGCCTTAATCGACTAAGCTACGACATGGTAAAAGAGTTGAGACCGAAGTTCTACTGAAGTTACTGGATCTTGCAGCATCTCCGAGACACAAACCAGGGTTTTACACAACTCCCCCATGCACTCGAGTTATGTCAATAGGCCGTTCTACCTCTTCGCCCTTCCTTCATTACACACAGAAATCACCGAGATTATCCATGCATGAGGCAGGAACAACAAAATATCATGTTGTGATGTTAATGTTAGATAAAGACGTTGAAGCATCATGAGAAAGCTAACAAACGGCATCTTCAAGCTTGTACTAAAATATGTTCTACGAAAGAAAATGAGACAGATTAATACACTAATGATTAATACATTAATACACTAATTGGGTTAAAAAAATAAAAAAAGAGGTTCAACATTGGAAGAAATATCGAACTGCCAATTATCACATAAACTAAAGAAAAATAAAAGGACATTGAATGAAGCCAGTCAAAAGATCAGTTCGGTCAAATGAAAATTTGAGATAAAGCAAGTACATGGCACCAAGACAGATTTCTATTCCTGCTACGCATACACAAGAAGTAAAATGCACAAAAGACGAGTAACTAAAGGATAAAACCTCATCACATCTTAAATAATAAAGAATATCGACAAGTTTAAATATCTTTATTCATGCTAATATAACTATTTCTATCCACTGTATAAAGTGTACTATACTGTATGTACAATTTTGTTTAAATCCAGTGTATTTTTTAATAAAAAAATATATCCTTATTAATCAACCAGTGATAAAATACCCCTAGAGACTGGAAACAAGATGAAGTAGTAATGATGAGAAAACCCTAATAAACCTGTATTACTGTATAGAAACTGGAAATATGCATCATTCCTCTCTTTAAAAGAAAGGCAGACGAAGTGAATCAGAAAAATATAGATCAATGATCTTAACTTCTCACATTTGCAGACTCTTCGTACGAATTTTGATAAAAGCATTTGCTAATCTCATTTTGTACAATTATATAAAGACATCGAAAGACAAGTTTGTAAAAAAAAAATCGCATATTAATCCTGATCATTTTCTAGAAATAATAATCTTCTACTGTACACTGGCCAAGCATATCCAGCCTGCGTGGCATATATGGACTTGGCTAAATTTTACCGCACAGAAGACTGACCTGAGGAATACACGCACAAAAAATTAGAAGCTACTAGAATTAATTAATCTACATTACTATTAGAAGATGACATTTACAAGCGATGTACAGTGAAAAAGACGAAGGAGGAACACAAATTACTAACAAAGAACATAACCAGTTTACAACTGAGGAAAACATACCACACCATCACCAATACAAAGGTCAGGACCACTCACCTCTTCATTTTCAGTGCACTCTCCTTTTTACTTATGGCTAATGGTTCTGCTCTTTCTTCCTTACTCATGGCTATCCTTTTATTTTATTTTATTTCCTGAAGTTTTTCCTCAGTGGATAATTCACCCTTGCATGCTTTGCTGCTACTAGAATTCACCTGCATGGATGCATTATGCAATTTAATGAAGGCCTCAAGCACGATTGAGATGTTAGCAATTGACAGTTAACCAATGGTGCTTTCCAGTATACAAGTACTGTGCTCACACGACTGGTAAGAAAAAAAAATCCGCTTACAACTTGTAAATGTTTCAATTCATTTCACACACAAAAAAATAATGTTTAAATAATCTGGAAATAACCTGCCATTTGCAATGACTCCAAATATTTTTCCATATAATAAAAATCAATTTATACACAGTAATGTGCTACTACCCTATTCTGTATGAAACATTACACAGTGTAGACAAAAACCAGCTATAAATTCATCTAATAAACCCATCTCAAAGGATAGTTAGTCATACATGGAATCAGGAGAGAAAATACCTGCCTCAACACAAAAAATAAATTTAATTTGGCTAAATAATAACTTTATGATTTTCATGAGATTTTCATAACCTGCCTCAAAAACAAATAAATTAAATTTGACTAAATAATAACTGATTTTCATAAGGACTGAGCATTGAATCATGGACATATTATATTATAATCATTTTTACCAGTTTCCACAAGATTCCTCTCAAATAATGTTTTCTTTTTTTAACAAATTTAGGTATACACAGCAATAATATGCTGCTACCCTATTCTGAATGAAACATTACACAGTGTAGATAAAAAAACTGTTACAAGATGGCTCCCAGCTTGACTAAGTAAGCAGATTCAAATACATTGGCCTTAAGGTGCCACTGTATGGTCCTGTTGTATTCAGACTCTGTCGTCAGTAAAAAGAGAGGCCTAGAGCTCTCAAGGCTGTTGCAGGTCAATGGTGCCAATGTCAGAATTGTCAAAAGATGTACCTTGTATACATCAGATCTTCAGTGAATTATGCTGCACCTCTGCTTGCTTTGATGCCTGAAAGAAAGCTTAGAGGGTTTAAAAAATTGCACGGCGAAGCCTTGAGGATAATCCTTGGGTGCCGTCGTACCACAAAGATACTTAACATGAGAAAGGAACTTAATATTCCGAGCGTCGTTGATCGTGTTACAGAAATTAACTGTCAAATTGGTTTGAAAATGCTTAGGCTAGCTCATCCTAACCCTTGCACAGAAGCCCTTCAGAATTTCTTTATTGAATGTCAACATTGTTCCAAATGAATAACTAAAACTGGAACAGAACTCAGAATATATCAGATTTCTAATTTGTACCAGGAGACAACAACGGCCCTTTCCTGCACCGTGGGAGATTACACCCTTTCCAATTTTAATCCCTCTCTTTCCACCCAAGAAGCAAATTAGAGATCAGCCCAAGCTTCGTCTCGAGACAAAGCTTAACGCTTTAAGCCATATTGATGCTCTGTCCACAGAGCATTCTCTCTCAAATCATATACACTGATGGTTCCCTACACCGCCCTACGGGTGCAGCTGGAAGTGCAGTTGTCCTGACAATGGGCGATGCTTATATTTTGAGTGGGGAATCAGTATAAACAACTGGGTCTCTACCCTTCAGACGGAACTATTTGCCTTGCTTCATGCACTGAAATGTGTACAAGTCTCCAAACTTGATACATTAATTGTAAGCGACTCTTTGTCATCCTTAATTGCTCTCAAATCTTTAAGACATAACTGTAACATGATCGTGTCTGAAGCTAGACACAAATACAACAAAATTATTAATTATGGTAAGAGAGTCCATTTCATGTGGACTCCATCTCATGTTGGCCTCCGAATGCATGATAAGAGCTGATGAGTTAGCCAGAGAATCTGCCTTTAAGGGATAAATTGTGTATAGCCTTGGATTGTCAATAAGCAATCTGAGAGCAATAGTACACCAAGAACTTCGACAAAATCTTATAGATCTAAGGCAAAGTGAAATCGACACCAGTAATTCCATCCATCATACTATCATGCAAGAGGAGCCACACATCTATGAATCATTTAATAAAATCAGCAGATTTCTAGATGTTACTACTGCTCGGTTTAAGACTCGGTTACATCTCTTGGAATTCTCATTATCTGCTGATGTAGACCTAACCAAATGTAAACTGTGTCAACAAAATTATTCGCACACCCTCCGTCATTATGCTAAGGAGTGCGAAAAGATACTTGAATTCAGAGACAATTCTATAACAAATGTTCCAAAGATGTGTAAATATTTCATTCAAAATGATCTGCTACCAGAAATCTTAGCCAAATATCCCCAGTTTGCTAACTGTAGGTAATAAGTGATTGTAACCTATCCACCGCTGCCCACTGGATGGGGGGCGGTGTGCAGCACAAAGATATCAATTATGACACTAGCTCTCCACATATGTCAAGTTGCTTAACTTAGAAACTGTACTTGTGGTCGATCTCGAGCCCATTGTTGACGTGACGATGTGCATTGAATTTTGTAACTAGCTCATCAAGATTGTAACTTGCTTAGCTAAATGAATTGTGGAATTCCGTCCCTGAGCCCATTATGTGCCTCTGTAACCCTTTCCACTACCGCCCACAAGATGGGTATGGGGTGCATAATAAATGAACTAAAATAACTAAGCTCATCTAACTGGCCTTCTTTGTGGTAAGTGCAGTTTGCGTGAAGGGTGTCTCTTTCAACCTTCACGGAGTACTTGTGATCTTGTGGTCACAAGTGATGTTGGGGACTAGTCTTTAAACGTGGCGTGAGAAAACAAAAAAATTATTCCTCTGCTTGTATTTGTTTTCTTATCGACCAACCACAACCATGTATGATCCAACATCCTCATCTACATGCCAGGCAGTACTGTGCCTCATCTACAAGCCAGGCAGTACTGTGCCTCATCTACAAGCCATGCAGTACTGTGCCTCATCTACAAGCCAGGCAGTACTGTGCCTCATCTACAAGCCAGGCAGTACTGTGCCTCATCTACAAGCCAGGCAGTACTGTGCCTCATCTACAAGCTAGGCAGTACTGTGCCTCATCTACAAGCTAGGCAGTACTGTGCCTCATCTACAAGCCAGGCAGTACTGTGCCTCATCTACAAGCCAGGCAGTACTGTGCCTCATCTACAAGCCAGGCAGTACTGTGCCTCATCTACAAGCCAGGCAGTACTGTGCCTCATCTACAAGCCAGGCAGTACTGTGCCTCATCTACAAGCCAGGCAGTACTGTGCCTCATCTACAAGCCAGGCAGTACTGTGCCTCATCTACAAGCCAGGCAGTACTGTGCCTCATCTACAAGCCAGGCAGTATTGTGGATGGCTTAGGTAACTGCACCAACTGTATAAGATTCGGTCATAGCCCCAGTACAATCAAATCATCCCACGTTTATGGACGCTGACTGGTTTCCACAAATATTCACTGGCGCCTGTATATATATATATATATATATATACTACCTACAAGCCTCGTCGAAACGACTAGTTACTATTACTTACAGAGTAGATCACTGAAGAAAAATTAACCCAATATACGGATGAAAGTTAAAAAATCACCTCAGACCGACTCAACGCAGCACGTCTCCTGAAGGCTCCGGTGGTCGCTTATAGTCCGGTACCTGAGACCCATAAGGTAATTATCAGGAGAGAGCGCGCAGCCAGTACGACTATGTAGCACCTTGGAAAGGAAATTAGGATAAGTATTTACGATAGGACGGAGGAAAGGAATGGTCCCTAACTACTTGGTTTGGGTACCTAATTGCTGCTCGAAAACGCAAATCTTGTTAATGTTTTATTTTTATATGATCTTCAAAACTTTCATATTATGCACACTGACTATTATTTAACATATGCATTAGGATTATACGTTTCTTTAACAAATAAAGTTTCAATCTTTGAAAAGTTTTCTCAAATTGTATATGTGCTTGCCTGGCCACCCTTCGTTTGGATTCATTTAAGTCTCTTGACTTGGCCTTCGGCAGAGAAGTTAGGCTTCGGTAAACCTCTAGTGGTGCATATGCAGTGCACCCTCTCATATCCAGACTGGCTTATAATGGGTCCCTCTTTAACAACCTGACTAAATCTGCCCAGATTCGCCTCAGAAATTCTGATTGACAAAAATAGGATGGCAGATAGTGATGCATTATCGTAGTTTCATGACAAAGTAATTTCAATAACAAAATCAGTTGTATTATTTTTGCTAGTTTTGTTTTATAGTTGTAAATATTATTCAAAGAAATACATTTATATTTTATAAATGTTTTGCTATACACATACTACCATATAAATCGTACTTTGTTTGTGTGACATTTTTTCTGAGAGAAACAGACCTAGTGACACAGCGAGCGTGCTTCCTTGCCTGTGGGGTCTCGCCTCTCGGTACTCAGGTATTTTCTCTGGCTTTTTTTAATATATCATTATTTGCGAGTTGAAGCCATGGCGTGCGGGCAAAGCATTATGCGTACATCAAATTAGGGTAAGAGAACTTTACTTACCAAGGATTATAATCAAGAGTTATTAGGAAAACGTGAACGTGGTTTGTGCGGAAAGTGGTATAGCATACCATGATAATGGTAGTTTCTGATGTAATAAGAACAGCATAAGTAATCATATAGTTTGTGAACAAAATGGAAAGCAGTGGGGGAAAGAGCAATCACCTTAGGCGTCGAAACCTTTTAAGAAAGGGCTATGAAAGTTGCTTGTTTTGTTGTGCTCTGGGACTGATTATTTGGTCGGGTGGGGATGGAGAGAGGTGTTTGTTTTATTAGGTGCGGCATGATACGGTAATACGGTCGTACCGTGCACATGGAAGGGTTCACACACGTAACATTAAAAACAAGAAACCGCATGCGCCTTTGAAGTGTGAGAATTGAGCAGGAGTGAAAGGAATACTCAGAGAAAAAAATATAATAAATTACTCTAATCAAGATAAACCAATAACAACTGATGTACACACAAGCCCCAGATTTGAAACACTTGGCTAACACAAAAGCAAGATTAACATGACAAAACTTACGTTAACACATATACTGTTGTCTGAGAATAACTACACGAAACGCTACAAACTGTTCACGAAGCGGTATCTGATGGAGCAGGCAAGCAGAAATGTAGTAATACCTGAGCACATGAAGAGAGACTGTAACGTGATGGCTGGGGTCAGGGGTACTTATACCCCCAACGTTGACATCAAATCCTCTATCACCGTTGACTGTCGAACTAGTCGCCGGCGAGTTAACTATCAATTTGTTGGTCATACTCATCCACCGGTTGGTGCACCTGGTATGGTGTATGGGATGTACCCTGGGAGTATTGGCTAGACTGTGTCCGGACTTGCGTGAGCTTCATTACCATGGACATATTAATGATGAACTTAGGTCCTGGTGGAGTGTAGAAGTGTCGTGAAAAATTTATCAACGAAGATGGTGAGTGCAGAACCAGTTTTTACAAAGGATATAAAATATTTTATGAATTCATTTTGTCTGGGAGCTACTGTATTTTAACATTTACAAAAAGATAATTGGCCTTTTCATACAGCCTGAGTTTAGATTTCTCTGTAAATGATTAAAGTTTTTCAGTGTAAGATGTAATACTGCAGTGTGTGTGTCCCTGTCTTTGTCCACACACTTTACACTTTACTTTATATAGATCCCTATACAATCCCAACTGCCAGAGATACTTGTAGCAAAGTCGTATTCGAGCTGACAACGTATGTCAGTCTACTGATTGTTATTAGCCGCATATAGATGATATGTTTGACCCATTTCTTTGTGATGAACAATGGATTTTAGTTCCTGTTTTACTATTATACTTTCTTCAAATTCATTTAAGAGTTCTCTTCTAATAATACTTTTAAGGGATCCATTTGATAGTTTAAGACTACTGTTAACATTGTCATGATTTGCTGCAAGCTTAGCAAGGGCATCACATTTATCATATTTTTATAATGCTAAAAAGACTCCACAACATTTTGACTTTGATCCCCTTATTAGTATGCATACATATATATCTGTCCTAACCTGCCTACATTGTGGAAAATTCCACTCACCATATCCATATTATTATCTAAGGAATTAAATATTTCCATATTTATTTATTTATATACAAGAAGATACATTGGGGGATAACAGAGAACATAGAAATTAAGTTGATTTTACATTCTTGTAAAGCCACTAGCACGCATAGCGTTTCGGGCTATGTTATCTATATTTACATCAGAATCATATCTCTACTGATGATTTAACAATCATCAGTATCTATATTAGCAGCCTACATGACCATTTGATAAAGTACACCATTGGACTCAATGCCTATATAAGGCTGAACATTGTGCATGTTATCACAAGAATCTAAAAGCTTCCAGGAGGAACTGATAATCAAAAAATCAAAAAATATTGTTGGAGCAAAGTTATAGCTTCCAGTGATGTATTTTCAAAATTCTTAATAAAGGACAAATTGTACTTTTAAGTACTGTCAATAATCTTTAAATCTACTAAGTGTTTATCTTGTGATATAACTTTATCACAATAATCAGTCTAAGTAATGAAAATAATCATTTTATAATCATTGCCGGCACCTTCACTGGAGGAGGGGGCCGACGCCGGTGGGGCAGGAGCGCCCAACGGGGACAGTACCTGATCACCCTTTGTTGACATCAAAATATTTCACGTGTGCAGTGTTTGAGGACAGTTTCAGTGGACACCACCGCACAAAATACTTAGCTAATCACCAGTAATCACTCCCTAGATATTCGGAGAGTCCCTGATCTATAATCTAAGCTAGAATTCGTCTATAAGAACTCATATTAATAGTGAGAGTGAACTCATGTACCCAGAGACTTGCCACGCTTCCACCATCATTTAATCCTTAACACTGCTACACGTATCCATCCTACAGCAAACGCTACCAGGAACTCAATCAACATCAAGGTGCTCATCATCAAAAATACAGAGCCTATCTCCTGAGAGATGATACAGTCTGACAACTTGCCAGACTAGGCTCCTGTTCTCAGTTTCAGGATGTTATTAATTGTTTTAGAGCGTAGATTGGTCAATATTATTCTTTATGACATTAATACAACCATATATAAATTGAGAGTTGTTATGAAGCGAGACAAGGCCTCGCTAATTAGTGAGTAGATTTACCTTCAGTAACTGAACTTCTTTTATTGCTGAATATTCATATAAATTTGAATCTCTATATCTTGTATATATAATTCTTTAGTATAATCCATACATTTAATTGCCATATCCATTAATCTTAATTTGAATTTGAACTAATCAAATTAGTTTATTTTATTGCATATACTATTTTCTATGCATAGTGTTCATGCATTATCCTTGTATTATACAACTACTTTGTTGAGAATATCAGAACAATTGATAATTGGCTGTTACAATATTTCTAGAGCTAGGTTAAACTATGTAATTATTTCAGATCTTTGTTCACGAACCGTACCAGTGTTTACAGTTATAGACTGTCTTTTATCAATTTATCATTGTAAAAATCACAAGCTAAATGTGTTTGAATACCCGCAGGTATATTGTGGCTCTGCAATCAATGAGTCAGCTCAGCTTTAAGGACCGTACCTACTACAGCCCATTACTAGTATCAAGGATACATAGAATTTGGACTTACATCCCAAACATAGGACCCTTGCCTTTAAATAAGAATATGTATGTTTTATTTTTGCATTTGAATGAATTATATTCAATACTTAATTTTCTAGTCCTGTGTAATTCTCTTCATCAACATAATCCCGGTATTTCTCCTACATACATGACTGACTATCCTACCAGAAGGGAATTTTTAGTGTTACGTAGCTCTTTACACGATTTATGTAACCCTTCATGACGTTTTGACCTGCAAAGTTTCAACAAGACTTAATCAAGAATATACAATATATTGCTAGATCATTAGCCTATCATTTTATAAACTTGATTATACACTTCCTTATCATACTAAGCAAATATAATATAAAACTTCAATAAAATGTTAATTCCCTGACTTAAATTGATATTCATTGTCATATAAACATTACTGTATATCTCACGACAGTTATACCTTCATACAGTGTATACCCCAATACAGTATAAACCTTCATATATCATATATTTTCTCCAGAGTACTGCAGTTGGCACGCAGTATGGGTGGAACAAGCCAAGTGTCAGGAGAACCTATTGAGTGTGAGAGCACGCTGGGCAGAGCGAGGAGCGTGCCAGATGCCCATAACCCACTGGAGGACAAGAGAGCGGTGCTGGAACCAGGCAGACACTACTACACACCACCTACCTTCAGGAAACAACTTGCTCGCTTGCTGGTAAGTCAGTGTCGGGATCTGTCTGGTGACTAAGTTGCCACACGCCCGTAAGTGATTTCTCAGCTAGACATTTTGAATATATTTGGTTTCACATTATCGGAGAAGCCTATTAGGCTAATCGTGGTCCTCCAAGACAAATAACTGACCTCCAGGATGCAGGTTACCTTGTGTTTACCTTTCGTTGGTTTCGGGAATCAACGTCCTCGCGGCCCGGTCTCTGACCAGGCCTCCTGGTTGATGGTCTGGTCAAGCAGGCTGTTGGCCGCAGCTACTCGCAGCCTGACGTATGAATCACAGCCTGGTTGCAACCTACATTAGTTGACTAATAATTCCCAAGTACCTATTTAGTGCTAGATGAACAGAGGCATCGGGTAGAAGGAAACTACCCAAAACGTCTTGTCCTACTCGAAAATCAAGCCTGGAACTTATAAACGCTGAATTCATTTGATCTTTTGGGTAAAAAAGTCATTGTCGCTGTACCCTACAGGGATAGTATACCCACCAAAGACATGGGTAGTTTGTACCCTGGACCAACGGGACTGTAGGTGATGGATCAAACTTAGTCTGTCTACTATTCTTTGGGTATGAAAGGGCTTCATAAGCCACACCACTGCCCTCCAGGTAAGTCCCAATCATCCTCAACACCCAAAAGTAGCTTTATAAGAAAAGTTATCCATGGTTACCCCTATATTTAATATGGTTAGGAAATATGCATGTAATATTTAGCAACACACGCTGAGGATATCCATATTATTATTATTACTATTTATTTATTTATTTATTTATATACAAGAAGTTGTATTGGGGGTTAACAGAATATAGAAAATAAGTTGAATTAACATTCTTGTAAAGTCACTAGCATGCATAGCGTTTCTGGCTAGTCCTTAAACTAACAATTTTTTTTTTATAAATTAACAGTAAAATTGATAAAAAATGTTAGCAGATATTTTAACGCTTATCTTTACAGGTACAGAAGTACCTGTACCTGTAAAGATAGTTCAGGTACTAATTATTATTATTATTATTTTCCTGGGCCTGGTGATGACATCATCCGTCCGCATGTCACTCATTAATTCACCATCTAATCCATCCCAGTTAATATTCTGAAAATTCGGCCACCTGGGTAACTCAGTTGAAATCATGCAAACTAATTGGTCATTTGAATGGATCCAACAATTAAGTTTTGGATTACCTGCTACACTTCCTACACACTTCCTCAAACTTTACCTCAACTTTGTTTAATAGGTGTAATAAAACCAATTAATAGTATATTTGTTTATTTGTAAAACAATTTTAAGCTGAGGATACCCCTATTATTATTATTATTATTATTATTATTATTATTATTATTATTATTATTATTATTATTATTATTATTATTATTATCATTAATTATTATTATTTTCCTAGGTCTGGTGATGACGATATAATCCGTCAGCATGTCACTCACTAATTCACCATTTAATCCATCCTAATGACTATTCTGAAGATTCGGCCGCCTGGGTAACTCAGTTGAAATCATACAAAATAATTGGTCATGGGGAGAATCAGTTCCTCCCCACTTTGCTTGGGCGCCGATTTAGTATTTTTGTTTTCTCTGAAAAGAGGACTAGTATACCCAATGGTATCAGCGTAGCAGCGCATTGATAAATTCATTAAACAAAATTAGGCTGAGCACACCTCCCTGTTGGGTGCCTAGTACAAAGTTTCTTGTTAAACTTCTAAGCCCTTGAAACAGTGAAGATAAATTACTTCCCGTTAGATAAGTAATGTATGATTCAGCAAAGATTTGAAATCTAGGAAGGTAATATATGACTTTTCAGTGTGTACATTCCTTCCATGTATGAAACCACGTTTTTGGGGGGACAGTAACATTCATTGCAATTGTGCGAGCAGAGGGAAGGGACAATATCCAGTAGTCTTACTCTGCCCAGGAGGGACAACAGCTACAAAACAACAGTTGCACCCAGTCTCGTTGAACCAGAAACTGAAAATTACCAAGCAGTTCCTAACTAAAGCACCACTCATGGGTAAAGTTACACTGCTTCCTTCACTAAGAATACTTTTTTAGTGGCTGCGTCTTTTGATGCGAATAAGTAATCTATCATTCGTATTTATTCCTTTCCAGCCTGCCGTTCCTCTGATGCCTATCATGCCTTCTATGTCTCTTATTCCTATTTTGTCTACCCGTTATGCCTAGCGTGTCTGCTATGCTTGCTGTGTCAATGTCTGTCATATCTGCCCTGTCGTACATTTCTGTAGTACTTGTCATGACCGTCAAGCGGTTCATATTTGACATGTTTTTCATGTCAGACATCTGTGACATTCCAGGCCCACGCAGCTTTTCCTTGGGAAAAGTTATGGCCAACGGAAGGATGCTTCCGAAAGTGGTAAGGACAGCGAACATTAACAGTGAACAGAGATAGTTCAAAGAGTAGGCCGCTAATGAAGGATCGACGTAGCTGTTTAAAGTGAGACCCGAACCCAATAAACGTGCCAGGAACAGACACACACCGCTCACTCCTAACTTAGTCGAGTTTGGTAAGACGTTGCTAATGTCTCGGTGGTGAAGTGGAAGGATGGCAGATGACTCTGAGTTTGTGACAATTGTAGCTTGGTCATCTTTGGTCTGGGTGTATGATTCAGCCTGTGGAGGTGATGAATTGGAAGAAGTTGAGGGAGAGTCCCTCGAGATGTTGCTGCTCTTCTTGGCGTTGGAGATAACGCCTAAAGGTTTCTTCTCTTCGAACATTTCATTTTCTTCTATGAACGAGAGAAGTGGGTGAGGAGGATTGCCAAGTCCCAGCATGGATCCACTGCTATATCCACTCTGTAATATCCAAAATTCAAAACATTAAGTAATGGAAAAATTAGATTCATTTATAATTCGTCAGCCAGTTCATAGATATCTAGTCCAACCACTTGGGCTGGACGGTAGAGCGACGGTCTCGCTTCATGCAGGTCGGCGTTCAATCCCCGACCGTCCAAGTGGTTGGACACTTCCGTTCCCACATCCCTGTCCCATTCCAAAATCCTTATCCTGACCTCCTTTCAAGTGCTATATAGTCGTAATGACTTGGCGCTTTCCCCCCGATACAACCTATAATAGATATCTAAAATAATCTGAATTTGTACCCAGCATAACTCTAGGTTTACATTTATTATAAATAAGATAAAGGCACTATTGGATTTCTGCCACGAAACGTGTGTGTGGGTAAAGGATTTGATAATAAGTAAAGCACTTAAGAGTCTCTGAGAATAACAGATACTAATATTTAATTAATATATGGTTCTTAAAAAATCAAATTATAATAAATCAACTAAGTGTTGCTTTTTTTTCTTATCTTTTCAATAACTTGATCACATTTTTTTGCTGTTATTTCATCTACTTCAGGTACCGTTGTTGTCTTTGTCACTAGGCGCCAGCCTGGTGGTCTTTTGTCACTAGGCGCCAGGCCTGGTGTCTGTCACTGGGCGCCAGGCCTGGTGTCTGTCACTGGGCGCCAGGCCTGGTGTCTGTCACTGGGCGCCAGGCCTGGTGTCTGTCACTGGGCGCCAGGCCTGGTGTCTGTCACTGGGCGCCAGGCCTGGTGTCTGTCACTGGGCGCCAGGCCTGGTGTCTGTCACTGGGCGCCAGGCCTGGTGTCTGTCACTGGGCGCCAGGCCTGGTGTCTGTCACTGGGCGCCAGGCCTGGTGTCTGTCACTGGGCGCCAGGCCTGGTGTCTGTCACTGGGCGCCAGGCCTGGTGTCTGTCACTGGGCGCCAGGCCTGGTGTCTGTCACTGGGCGCCAGGCCTGGTGTCTGTCACTGGGCGCCAGGCCTGGTGTCTGTCACTGGGCGCCAGGCCTGGTGTCTGTCACTGGGCGCCAGGCCTGGTGTCTGTCACTGGGCGCCAGGCCTGGTGTCTGTCACTGGGCGCCAGGCCTGGTGTCTGTCACTGGGCGCCAGGCCTGGTGTCTGTCACTGGGCGCCAGGCCTGGTGTCTGTCACTGGGCGCCAGGCCTGGTGTCTGTCACTGGGCGCCAGGCCTGGTGTCTGTCACTGGGCGCCAGGCCTGGTGTCTGTCACTGGGCGCCAGGCCTGGTGTCTGTCACTGGGCGCCAGGCCTGGTGTCTGTCACTGGGCGCCAGGCCTGGTGTCTGTCACTGGGCGCCAGGCCTGGTGTCTGTCACTGGGCGCCAGGCCTGGTGTCTGTCACTGGGCGCCAGGCCTGGTGTCTGTCACTGGGCGCCAGGCCTGGTGTCTGTCACTGGGCGCCAGGCCTGGTGTCTGTCACTGGGCGCCAGGCCTGGTGTCTGTCACTGGGCGCCAGGCCTGGTGTCTGTCACTGGGCGCCAGGCCTGGTGTCTGTCACTGGGCGCCAGGCCTGGTGTCTGTCACTGGGCGCCAGGCCTGGTGTCTGTCACTGGGCGCCAGGCCTGGTGTCTGTCACTGGGCGCCAGGCCTGGTGTCTGTCACTGGGCGCCAGGCCTGGTGTCTGTCACTGGGCGCCAGGCCTGGTGTCTGTCACTGGGCGCCAGGCCTGGTGTCTGTCACTGGGCGCCAGGCCTGGTGTCTGTCACTGGGCGCCAGGCCTGGTGTCTGTCACTGGGCGCCAGGCCTGGTGTCTGTCACTGGGCGCCAGGCCTGGTGTCTGTCACTGGGCGCCAGGCCTGGTGTCTGTCACTGGGCGCCAGGCCTGGTGTCTGTCACTGGGCGCCAGGCCTGGTGTCTGTCACTGGGCGCCAGGCCTGGTGTCTGTCACTGGGCGCCAGGCCTGGTGTCTTTTAAATGTTATCCTCTTATTCAGTACGTCTCTACGAGGACAAAAGAACACTATTTTTTGTCATTAGTGCTACAGAATACTTCATCGTTCTAGTGTATAATCAAGAGGTAAATCACTTCCAATACAAAGTGTAATTTTTTTTCATGGGAAATGTTATTTACTAATTGCTTATGTCTCCAAAGTACTGTATATAAAATAGCTATTATTTCCCACAAACTTTGCTTTTGTGATCAGAAGAGTGATATATTGAAATTTACCTATTTTCCAGAACATCCAGATGGATCCAGTGCTGAGTGAGCATGGAGTGCCTCCATAATGGGGCAAGTTTCCCATTATAAGTCTCTTTCCCTGGCTCACTCGAGCAACTCAGAGGATTACAACACCATCAAGACCTTGCTGGACGCCTTCAAGTATGATGAGTACGGCCGGGAGGTCAACGGAGACTTCACAACAGTGGCATTCCAGACGTGTCTCCAAGGCGGTTATACCAAGTTTCCCTGCTATCTTTGCTTCTGGGACAGCTGGGACACTGACAAAAACGAAAAGACGCAAATTCGCCCGTTCTCTCTTTGGAAATAGGTCAGTTTCAAAATATGACTGTCACAAAAGCTAAGTTGGAGAGGAAATAATAAACATTTTCTATATTTTGTATGCATCAGCAATTAGGATATAATACTAGCCAGAAAAAAATTGACATATTTTTACGATAATTACTTTAACTGGTCTACTTAGTAACTTTTAAGTAAACAAAAATTCCAGGTAAAAAAAATCTCGGTGGGTTTGACTTGCCATCCTCTATCAACATCACTTTTATCGCTCTCCTTGCACTCATGCTGACTAGTCCTTGACTCCGTGACATGGTATTACTCTCGTTACATTAGAGATAGTTTCTTATTTAATGTAGCCATATATTGATAGGATCTCTCGGGCAGGTAACAAAATATCACAACTAGAAATTACATTTTATTTTATATTACTTGTTTATTGTTTAGGTATGATTTTCCTCTTGTACGATACTTAATGTCTCAGTTATCAAGCAGCTTAATACACCCCCTCGGGTTGTGTAGAAACACAACCCGAATATCAGGCCACTTACTGTCTTATACACCCAACCCATAAGTTTATAAATATAAGAAGTAACTGATAATGATGGTCTAGAACAGTCCGAAACGTCGTCATTTCATAATGGTCCAGGAGGAATTGAAACGTCATCAACCCTTGATTTTCAGATTTGCGTGTTGGGTGTCTTAATTTTCAGCCACGTTATTGTAACTTAATCTCTACTGCTGTCTTTGGATACAGTAATCCAAATGGGGGTGCATCAGAGATTTATACAGTTGAACCATTACCTTTTTTCCTTATCAAAAGTATGCTTGATTATCCCAAGAGTTTGGTTGGCTTTTCTGACTGCTGCACCAACCTGTTGTGCAACTTTTAATGAGTGGTGAATTTTGACTTCAAGGTCCTTTTCTTCATCAATCTAATGTAATGCTGTTAATTTGGTAGTCGTGGCGTGGGTTGTTATGCCCTACATGCAAGGTCTTGCATTTGTCGACATTAATTTGAAAAGCACTTGCCAGTCTTCTGACCATATGTTGAGTTCATGTAGAGCTATTTGTAAGGCCTCAATATTATTATCATTTCCCACTTTATCATAAATCTTTATGTCATCTGCAAATTTGATGATGAGGTTTGTAATACAGTATTCTCATCTTTGTCATTGATGTATATGACAAAAAGGGTAGGTCCCAAAATGGACCCTTGTGGCACTGTACTTATCACATTTCTCCATTTAGATTAGTTTCCATTTAGCACGACCATTTGTTTTCTTTCCTTCAACCATTGTTGTTATCTATTCTAAATTTTACCATTTCCTTGGCAGTCTTTCATTGTGGTACCTTATCAAAAGCTTTAGCAAAATCCACGAATTTATCTACATCCACCTTTGTCTGAGTAGCTGGTTACCGTTTCCAAAAATGTGAGCAAGTTTGTAAGGCAGGACTTGTTTTTAACAAATCCATGTTGTGTCGATTGTACAAGGTTGTTCACTGAAAGATGGTGAATGATTCCCTCCCTGAGGATTATCTCCGTGAGGTTGCAGATGTGTGATGTAAAGCTGATCGGCCAATAGTGTTCTGCTGAGGTCTTTCTGCGTTTTTTGAAAATTGAAGTGACATTTGCATATTTTCATTCTGAAGGGACTACGCATTGGTTTAGAGAGTTTGTGAAAAGTAATTTCAACGGTAGGCATAGTTCTTCTGCCAGTTCATTAAAGACTGGATTATAAAGGAAATGGATGAAGGAATTTTTTTAACTTTCAGTTTGCTTCTTAGTACCCCTGTCGTTTTTTGTTGCTCTATAGTGAGGTCTGGAGATATGTATACTTGGTTATACCTCTCGATATTAATGAGTATCAGTACCCATCAGGGATGCTAGGCTTCCTAGGGCCTGAGTGCGCTTTGATGTTCCGTATTTATATGTGTGAGCATATTTTTCAGGTTATGCATTAAGTGAGCAAAATATTGGCTTGCTCCCATATGTAAGCATTCGTTATTGACTACTTCTAAATTGTATTTTATGGTTTGCTATATTTTCAAAAACAATGAACATTTCTAGTGCTATGAGTGAGTATTCTTAAGCTTATTATTTAAAGGTTGTAGTGTCTAGCACACACAAAATTATAACTATCAGATTTCAATCACTTATAAATCCCTAATGCTGAAATAGTTTTATCCGTGCAGTATTCAAGTACTTTACCTAACTTAACCCAATTTCTATGTTAGACACAAGTGAGTCCAGTTAGATATAAATAGGAGCTGCCTGTCATGGACCAATGGGCGTTTTGCACTTTCCTCTGTTACATTAAATTAGTTTTACAAAATGATCCCGCTTCTAGCAGAACCTGCACATGAATCTGTATTTTGGAAATTATATATATATTTTTTTTTAATATTGCTTTATCCTTGTTTTAATCAAACTTGAACATAACACATTTAATTCATGGAAGATAGCAACTTGGGAAACGCACTGATGCCCTCAAAAGTAA